GAAGGGGCCCAGCCTGCCCGCCCCACCCGAGGCCTTCACCTACGAGACGGCCACGGCCAAGTGCAGGGAGAAGCTGCCCGTGGAGGACCTCTACTTCCAGTCCTGTGTCTTTGACCTCCTCACCACGGGGGATGTCAACTTCATGCTGGCTGCTTACTATGCCTTTGAGGACGTGAAGATGCTTCACTCCAACAAAGACAAGCTGCACCTCTATGAAAGGACACGGGTGCTGAGCCCGGGCAACACGGCGCCCACGGGAACGCATCCCACCCTCTGGGTAGCACTGCTGTGTTTGTGTTGGTTGTGCTTGTTATAGAGGTTTGCTCCTTCACACCTTGGAGAGAAGGGAAAGGGGAGCAGGAGGCAACCAGAGATGAGATGCAGGTGTTGGAAAACAAGAGGTTGGACATCAGAGCCACATGGGTTGTCCTCAACTCAGTCTCTCTCTTGGTGCAAGTCCTCCACCTTCCCAGCTCGTGCCTGGGAGGAATGTGCTGCCAGTGGGACCAGACAGGAGTTTTTGCTGGACTGTACCTTGTGTGGACCTTGCTCACTTCCCCCTCCTCCTGCTGCCATTTGAGGGGGTGCTGGGGAGCCCTTGTAGCTACTCTGCTTGTAGCACTCCCCTGGTCCCAGCCATGCACGTGGTGACTGTGACACTGGCGTGTGTGAACATGGCTTTGTCTTCAGAGAGCAGAGCCCACGAGGAGGGCACAGAGCAGTGAGACAGGACCAGCACAGCAGGGCAGGATGTCCTGCTCACCAGGGCTGGGCTCTGCTTTTCCTGCTCTGCCCCACAGCCCTGCTGTTGCATAGGGTGGTGCAAGGGGCCGAAATGGTGGGCAATGATCCCACACTTGCTTGGCTGCTGGCACCTTCTGGGTGGAAGGAGGACAGGTTCCTCAAGCCTTGGCCTGCATTTTTTTGTGGTTCAAAGGCATCCCCTATTTTAGCCAGTTCACCTGGCTGATTCACTCAGTAGTTCGACTCCTGTCTCCCTTGTCTCTCTCTGCCTGGACCCACCGTGGACTCTTGATGGCAATGGGAGAAACCTGGCCAGTATTCAAGGGGTTTCTGCAACTTCTGCCCAGCATTGGATGAGTTCCTCACACCGTTCACTCCCTGGTCCCCTGAAACTGGCAGCAGGGTGGCTGCTCAGTGGGAGACCCAACTGCACCTCCCTCCAGCCCCTCCCTGCCTGGCCCAGCCCTGGGATGGAGCAGGAGCATGGTGCTCTTTATTTTTGCTGCTAGGTCTCTGCTCTGCTCCCCATCCTGGGGCCACGACTTGCAACCCCATTGCAGACCAGTTGCACCTTAAGCCCTTTAGGGCTTGAATCAGAAATGGGGCAATGTCAGAATTCAGCCAGGAGATGGGATGCAGCAGAGGACCCCCCCCCCAGCTGCCTCCAGATGTCTGTTCCCTGCCTCGAAACCATCCATCATCTCCTTCCCCCACCACGTAGTGCTGCCCATCTCCTCCACTCCGTGCTCCTCTGTGGTTCACCCCATGGCTCACTGAACAAACATCAAGACCACCTTTGGTCTGCGCCTTCACGACTTCCTGGTGGGTTTCCCCCACCTTTCCTCAGGGGGAAGTTCCCAGAAACGAGCCCCAAAACACGTGTCACACTTGGGGGCACCTCCTGCTCTCAAAAGGGAGGTCTCTGGGCGTGATGAGACAAGCTTAGCACCAAAAGAGGTGGGAACAGGCTTGGTTTGGCAGTCTGAACTGGTGCCAAGAGGCAGCCTGGTGTAAATACTGAACATGACTATTCATTGTGTCCTTACAGCTCTAGAGCTCCATTTGTAAAGCAGCAGAGAAATGCAAACTTGTGTCAATTGATGTAATTTATATTGTCTCTTTAATATATAGAGCCCTGGCATTGATCTCGTGTGACTGTACAGATGAAAAGATGTAATTGGTTTTTAAATGTTTAAGGAAAGAAAAGAAACAAAAAGATGTGTTTACTACTTTGCTCCTTGCTTTGTTTGCTGATGCCCCAGATACTCTGTTTAGGGAGATTTTGAAATAAGGATATCACAGTTTGGAGGTGCTGAGGGAGCAGCCACTGGACCACAGCACTGGACAGTTTCATTTCCCAATGCACTAATGCTCAGCCAGGCTGATTTGGACTTTCTGTTCCCTTTTGTCTAGAGAAAACAAATTTTTATCTTCCCTAGGAGTTGAAACACACTTTTTAAAAGCTAAAATCTGTCTCTGGGCAAAGAAGAGGTTTATCCCACAGCTAAAAGCAGCTGTGCACAGCCTCCCTCTGAGCACACAGTGCTGCTTGAAAGCTGCCTGAGCTGGCCCAGCCAAAGCATGCCAACAGGTCAATAATTCCCTTAGGAGCTCCCCTTCCTATAAAACAATCACCCCACAGCATGGCACGCTGTGGTTTAGGGACAGTTTCCATCCAAGGAAAGTCTGCTTATGGCTTGGCTCATTCCCTCTGTCCAGGTGGGTGCTCCAGTGGTGGCTGATGGTGTGAGGTGGTTGTTGGGGTATCCCTGTTTTAGAAGCAAACAGTGAAGCACTTTATTTTGGTTGTGTTTGACCCAGTTCTGGTTAAAGGTGAAGTGTGGCCAAGAAGGACCCGATACTTGGAAACAAACAAAACAAAACAAAAAAACATAGGCAAAGGGGGGGCATGCTGAAAATGCCCCCCCAGCTCCTCCCTGTGCTGAGACCCACGGGAGTGTCACCGCCTGTAAATACTGTAAATTATTTATTGAGAGGAACACAAGTAAAGTTTGAGGTTTTTTTGACAATAAACGAGTGGGTCTCGCTTTGTTCCCCGTGTGTTGCCTGGTGCTGTTCCCCACTCAGGATGAAGTGTTGCCCCATTTCTGCACTCACTCCAAAGCAGCTTTCTTCCACTTGAAGGACCCTCTGACAGCTCATTTCTGTCCTGAATCCTACTGAGAATTTCACTCTGGAGTTCAATTTATGAGAAAATTAAAAAGGGGATGGGGGTGAAAATGTAGATAATAAACCATTAGAGCCTTGCCTCTCTGGGAAGGGGGATGTGCAGCAATGGGGTCCAGGCGGGTGCCACCACCCTTCCCCTGCTCACCACAGCACATTGGGGTGTACATCCCAGTAATGGCAATTCCTCCCTTTGTTGGGCAGCTCTCCTGTCCCAGCTGGGTTTGTTGCTGCCCTCTAATGAGGAAAAACAAAATTGCATTTTTTTTTTCTGTTAAATTTTCCGGTTTTGAAATCTGAAGGGACTCATTGTCCCAGCAGCAGGGAGATGCTTGAGGGCAGGTGGGACACCCACAGCAGCTCAAAACACACATTATTTGGGTGAAACCATGCAGTGATGCCCAGCACCAGAGATGTGATTGACATCTGGCCTTCCCCTGTTCAAAGCCCAGAGAACTGGCAGTGTTTGGAAAGATCCAAATCCACTGCCTCTGCCACCCCTTGCATGGGAGAAATGACTAAATCTGAATATTCATCTACAAAGTGCCCAGAGTGCAGGGGCCAGGGGTCTCCCTCACTGTCTGTTCTGCCAGGAGGTCACCAATGGTGCCCTGCTGTCCAGCCTGGGACAGTGAGCTGGCAGCCCCTGCAGGTTCCAGTGGCACAAAGTGCTGATGTGAGGGAATGGTGACCCCTGATGCACACGGATGCCCTGTCCCCATTAACCACACAAGGCAGTAAATCATCCCCAGGAGGTCAGTGGGGATGTGCAGGGACATTGGTGGTGGCAGTGGTGGCTTGTGGCACCTGGGAGAGGTTCAGATTGCTCTCCAGACCATGTTCAGGGCTGCTGAGGGGGCAGCCCCTGAGGGATCCAGGCTCCCATCCCATCCTCTGTGAAGGGCAGCAGCTCAAGTGCCACCACCTGGGGCCTGGGGTGGGTTTCCAGCCCCACTTTGGCTGTGCCTGCCCATGCCCTGGCCTTTGGCCACTGTCTTGGGCTCTGAGTGCTTGGGGTGAGGCAGGGCCAGCTGTGCAGGAGCAGCCACAACTGCAGAGTGATGTTGCTCACCAAAAATGAGCTTTTTGCTAGGAACCGGCTCCCTCTAGAGGGTCTGCCCCTCTGTAAAGCACAGCCCTGTCCCCTCACTGGGGTGGGTGCAAGGCAGGGCTGGGGGAGACACCTGGCATCAGGGTGCTCACATCCTTACCTGCCTGCTTAAATCAAAAACATTTAAACTTTTAAAAAGTTTAAAAGTTTAAAAGCCTCAGGTAGATTCCCCCAGGCACGTAACAGGCAGCCCAGCTCCCTGAGCCCCCGTGCCTCCCTGCAGCTGAGCCCCATGGCCAACAGCCAGTCACTCTTTCCATTAGGAAATCCATTTTTCAGGAGCATATAACTCAGCTGTGAAATTTCACTCTTGGCTGAAACTTGGCTCAGCAGCAGAGAGACTGGGAAGGGCTGGACCCAGTGGCCACAGGTGTGAAAAGTGCTTTTTACAATGAGCTTTTATAACTTGGGAGAAATGGCTCCAGTCCCTGCTCTGTGTGGGCCTCAGTGTGAGCAGTGGAGGGTAAAGACCAAACCAAAGCAGCCACTGGATGCCATCACATCCCACCTGGGGAGAGGCACATCCTGCCCAGGAGGGGCTGGGAACAGACAGGGGAACTCACTGATGGCAGCAGGAGCAACACTTCTCCCAGAGAAAGGGGAATTCTCTCCAGAAAATGTAAAAAAGAAAATTTACACATCCTCAGAGATCCATAAAACGTGGAGGTGGGATAAACACATCATCATCAGTATCATCCCAGTGAAATCCTGGTGGGTCTGGGTTAGAGAATGTACAGCTCCTTCTGATCAGCTGGAAATTCCCATCTGAAGAAGCTTCCAAGTCTCTATCACCACAGACTGTGAAACTATGGAAAAACAGCCAAGCAGAACATGCTTATTCCTGCACAGTGAAAATATCCATGGTGGCTTGGCTGTGGCTGGCAGGAAAGGGCCCTGTGATCCTAAACCAGCCCCCAGACCTGCCACAGGACCCCCCAGAGACATCACACTGGGGCCCTTCTGAAAATCTCAGTAACACTTTTTAATATACAAGAATCAAAAGTACAGCAGTTTTACAATGTAGGAAAATTTCATACATACTATATAAACAACATATTTACATCAGAAATCACTAGGACAGTGGCATTTCTTTCACAAATATAAATTAATATTAATTACTGTTTTTAGTCAACAGGTTTAAAAGTCCGTATTTTTACAGTAAGAGTCCTTCTCTCCCCAGAGGGGAGGCAGAGGTGGGGAGGAAACGGGTGAAAGCAGAAAAATATTTTTGTGTGGATCACAAACCATTCACACAAGGACTTCAGCACTCGGTTCCGTGTCCATTTTGGCTGGGACCACATCGCCTGTCCCCACAGCAAGTTTTGGTCTGCAGGATTTCCACCATGTGAACTCATGACTTTACACCATTTCCAAAGAGGTCAGGCTGAAAAACTCTTTTTTTTTTTTTTTTTTTTTTTTTAAATTGAACCCCAGCAAGTTACTGCTATTTTCTGCAAAGAGGCTGGAGGGAATCCCACAGGTGGTTAGGAAGGAAGAGCTGTACCAATGCTGTCACAAACACCACAGAGAAGTTTATGGCTGTGGATGTGTCCCCTCTGATCCCACTCCTGTCCCCGTGACTGTGTTTGGTTATGGTCCCTATGCTGAGGGGACATAAAATGCATAAGTGTGTGTGTGTATGCTCAAGGAAGACTTTCTCCCAAATCTCCAGCTTCACTAAAGCCAAACCCAGCAAACATTCACCCATCATGAGTGGACATGATGTGACTTCAACATCAGGCTAAAGTGACAGTGGGGACAGCTCTCCAGTGGATATGGGTAAAGCTTTTGCTGTTGCACAAGAAGGAAATCCCAACCAACCTCATGCCTGGGATGAGCAGAAACCCCCGTATCTCGACACAGAAAATGCCTCTTGCTGGGATTCTCCTGCACCAGCCCTCACATTGGTTGCCAGTATTGCCTTTGCTACACGAGTATGGCACAGACTTCCCACCGTGACAGCACCGTGACAAAAACAGCAATTCTTTTTGCTGCCTCCATTTTCACATTAAAAGCTAATACCTCTGAAAAGAAAGGACCTCTTTGTTGAATACCACAGCCTGCAATCACAGCTTAGTGGGAAACACCACGGAAAGGTGCTCTCTCCACACCTCCCACCCCTCCGAGGGGGACTGTGGAAGACTTGCCTTCACCTCACCCTGCACAGGTAAACACAAGTGTAACACTTTATCAGGGCAGCAAGTGCCCCTAAGGAAACAAAACTGCCCTGAATTCGGTGGAAATCTTGCAACATAAAAACAAAAGGGGAACAAAACACTTCCAGTGTGTCCCCTTGGAGCAGCGGGATGGGGAGGAGTGATGGCAGCAGATTTCCAGGGACACACACTGCATGGAGGAGTTTTAGTGTCAGTTTGCATGCACCTTCCAAGGCACTGCCTGGAGTCAGGAAGCCAGCCCTGAACACCCATCTGCCCTCAGTCCTTTGGGGAAGGGACATCACAGCTTATTAGAGTCAAATACTGGCATCTTAATAGGAGGCCCAGCTTCTGTGCCCTGCCAAACAGGAGTCTGGAACAGCCTGGTCTTTAATACTAAGCTCTGGGTGGTGATGCAGCCCCAGACACCATGCTCAGGGCAGCCTTTGTGGTCTCCAGGGAACTCCAACCTGAAAAATAATCACCCAAGGTGCTTCTGGCCAGCAGGATGTGCACAACCAACCCCTCAACACACCAGTGTCCAGGCTGGATGCTGGTTTGCATCAAATACTGTGGTTTGAATGCTTGGAGTGTTTGCCCTGAAGTTCACTGAGCTGGGCTGCATATTCCTCTTTTTCCTCTGCCATGCTAGGCTCTAAGACATTTGCTCCAAGGATCTTTACAGACCAGTCCTGAATTCCTCATGCTGTCCCTGCTCACTGAGGTGCTAAGTCCTCAGGTTCATTTCCAATTTAGACAAACAAAAGGTCTGTAATTGCAGGTACTTTTAGCAATTCAGAGTCGCTGCTGACTGCTGGAAAGGTGGCAGGAAGGTGACCATTCCCTGAACAGTGATCACTCCACTATATTCCTATTTCACTTTGCTCTACCATCCCTTACCTTTCACTTACAGCAAAGGTTTGTGATCACTGCTTTGTGAAGCACAGAGAGAAATGATTTGCCCAAAGACCAGAGACTTTAGTGGCAGGAAGATTAGGAGTTCCAGTATGCCCAGAGCCATCTTTTGATCTTGCACCTCCCAGCCAGCATCTGTTAGTTCCTGGACCACTCAAGCTGCCCATGACAGAAGAGAAGAGTTTTCTTATGAACTCCTGAGCCCTGTCCACTGGGAAATAATGTTCTCACCTCAATTTCTTTCCTGATGGTTAGAAGTGAACTAAGCCTTTTGTTGGCCTTTTTTTCCCAGCTCCCACTTACTCCCAGAGTCAAGATTTGCCAGTTCCAGCTCTGGAGATGGGAGCAAGATCCCCCCACCTCCTCTGTTGCAGGGGACACAACAGCAATCAAAGCAGAGCCAGTTTCTTGAAATGGATAAAGACATGAAAATGATAACACGGCCAGGAAAGTGATGAATTGTCACCAGCACGGCTCCAGCACCTTTGGAGTCATTCTGCAGGGACATCAAGTCCCTCTTTCAACCAAGTTTGGCTGCTGAGGGACTTTCCTGTCCCTCCTTGAACATATCCTCCCATTGCCCCATGCTGGTGACACACAAATCCCAGCCCAACCAGTTTATCCCGACCCTAAAGCAGCATCTGTCACATAACATCAAGTCAGAGCAGGCACACAGCCTTCTGCACCATCCTAAGCAGCATCAATCTGCCTTCTCCTTCTGAGGAAACACTGGCTGGGGAAAAACTCCCTTGGGTCCATTGGACTGAGGAAAACAAAAAACAAAACAACAAATGAGGCAGCAAGGCTGGTTCCATGACAGAACAGTTCAATGGTAAAAAAAGGGAAAGGAAATGGGAATCTAAACCAGAATCAAGAACTAGGGAAAATCTTCCTTCACCCACTCCCCCAAATTCCTCCTTGACCCAGCCAGATGATAGCAGCATGTTCAGAGTTTCTGGTTGCTGGCTTGGAGAAAGCAGCCACCGTCGCACCAATCCCAGTATCTCGGGCGTGCCCTTCGCCCTCTCCGTCGCTTTACGCTTTCCGAATGTTCCAGTTATAATCTGGATTGTTTTTCTGTTCCAATGACCTATCCAGAGGTGACCTGTGATCGAGAGGTGATTTGGAATCGTGGGGGGATTTCTGAGAGGGGGGCGAGCGAGGGTCCGACACCGGAGGGTGAGATGGAGGGAGGGGCTGTTTGTAATCGCCCAGTTTGTCTGTGTGGAAGGACCGGTAGTGGTCCGAGGGTCCTTGGCCGTGGTAGCCCATGGGGGGCCTGTGGTCAGACATCCGCCTGAAATCCTGCTGGTGGTAGTTCTGAGGCCTGAAGTCCTCGGACCGCCGGCGTTTGGAATCGTGGTGGTGCCTGTGCAGAGAAAAATGGACAGAGATCAGCACCCCAAGCCCACTGAGCTGAGGGCAATGTCTTAGGTTGGAAATGGGTGTGTGCATTCTATTCCTATCTGTGGAGCAGTTCCCTTCTTAGTTACCTTCTTAGTTTTTCTTTATCTCTTCCACAATCAATCCTCCCTCTGGGAAATATCTTCTGTTAATGGCCAATGAGTGTCACTGTATGACTGATAAAATTACATCATCCCATTGGGAGAAGCTCCGCCCAGGGGGGAGGAGCCAAGCATTCCTACCTGGATATAATCAGAGATTTGGACCACCACAGGCAGCCTTTTTCCCACTGGATTCCCAGAGGGAGCAGCCATTTCCCACTGGATTCCCAGAGGAAGACCAGGCTCATCTATACTACCACTGGAGGTACTACTACCCTCCTTCAGAGGAAGACTACACCCTTCTACAGCATCACTGCTCCAACAGAACCACACCTGGCACTGCAGAAGGGCTGTAGCCACCATTTCACAGGACTGCTGCCAACACCCTGACCCAGAGGGTATCGGGTCATATTCTGACCCTGTCAGTGTTGTTTTGTACTACATTGTTTATTTTACTTTTTTCATTTCCTCCCCTAACAAAAAACTGTTATTCCTGCTCCCGTATCTTTGCCTTAATCTCAAAATTACACCAGTTCGGAGGGAGGGTGTTTACATTTTCCATTTCAGGGGAGGCTCTGCCTTCCTTAGCAGACCCCTGCGCGTGCAGACCCGGTCAGGCCGTCGCTCACCTGTCGTAGTAGTCGCGGTGGCCGCGGTGGTCGCGGTCGCTGTTGTACTGCTCGTAGGGCCTCTTGCGGGACAGGTTGTTTGGTCGGTAGTTGCCGGAGCTGCGGTGGGGGTCCCCGCGCGACCGCCGCTCCCCGTAGTGGTGGTCCTTGTACCAGTGCGGCTCGTACTGGTGGTGCCGCTCCCCGCCCCACATCTGGTTGCTGTTGCCGCCGTAGTTGAACTTTCGATCCCTCTGCCAGTCTCCTCGGTCTGCCGCGAGCAAAGAGCACCTCTGAGTCTCTGTCATGATTTGGTTTTACTGCCCTGAATTCTCCAAGAAATACTAGCTATTGACACTCCTTTAACTTCTTCCTCCCTAAACAACGTGGGTCCATTTTATTCTTTGAATTTCTTTATCGCTATTTCTTTATCATCCTCACAAATCTTACTCAGATTCTTTTCCTCACCACATCACCACGTTTTCTAGCCCAGCAGTAAGCACAGTGGCAGTGCATGTTCTCTCCCATCCCCTTTAAACCTGAGCAGTGTTTTGCGGAGATAAACAAAACTCCACAACTTTTGTGAAAGTTGTAAAGCCGGTATGTTTATTACAGTGCTGGGCACATGTGGGAATCATTCCCCTAAAATGACATGCGTACCTCTGGGAACTTCAGGTCTCTTTTTATACCCCTCTCAAATACACATGCATATAATTTCACAATAGGTTCATACATATTAATTTTTACGAATTTTGCGTGACATTTGCCGCTAGCTCTTCTTTATCAGAAAGAATTCCTAGATCAGGTTGAGCTGCTCTCACAGCAGTCTCTGTCTCTCTCTATCACCTTCTGTCTCCCCCCGCCATATCTCTGTCCTTCACTGAAGCAGTTTCTCTCAGCCCAGGCTTTTGCAGTCAGACTACACAGCAAGCTACATACTTAAAGATGTACATTCTACCTAAATCAAAATGGATTTCTACCCTGGAAGATTTCCACTCTGCCTCAGCAGCCACACCCAGAAGGATGTGTGTCCAGGAGCATTAGGTCAGAAGGGAAGGTTTCTCCAGGCCTCCCAGTGCTCACCTGTGTTGCTGAAATGTCTCTTGTTTGGGTGGCCATAGTTGTCCCGGGGGTGGCCGTGCATCTGCTGCTGGGTGTGGGAAGGGGGCATGTGGATCTTCTGGGAGTGAGGATTGTGAGGCACATGGGACTGGGACATCACGGAATCACGGCTGGAGCCGGAAGGCTCTGGGCGGAACGGCTTCTTCATGCTGGACATGTCCTCCTTCTTCTTCTGCTCCTGCAAGGTAGAACAGAGGGATACAGCTCAGCTGCTCTCTCACCAGAAGAGCAGGACTGTGAGCAATGGCCTTGTCTGCCAGGCTCTGGATTCTCCTGCCTCTTTGAGTTGAGCCAACTCTGTGCTCAAGAACGGCACAAACGTGGTGAAGGACAGGCTCAGTTTGGCAGCTCTGCTTCTACACCTGACCTCTGCAGGGCAGCACGCCCAGGCTTTTCACTCCACAGGGCAACTGAACATCACATGCCACACCAAACAATGCTTTTGCTTGGTCAGGACAGCCAGGACAAAGTGACCAGAAATGCCACATGAAAAAGAAGGCAAATGAAATCAGACTGTTTAGATGTTGAGCAAATCACAGTGCCAACAACAAAGAACACCCACAGTAAGAGGCAGAAAGAATTGGTACTTCCAGTGCAGCAACTTTTAAGGACAGAAATCAAAGGGAAAGCACTTCAGGTCTCACCTCCTCTTCCTGTGATCTTTTCTTATGAGCCATCTTGTAGAGTTTGTGTAGTTTTCTGGCATCAAATTCTGTGAATTTTGACACAAATATCCATAGGTTCCTAGAAGGACATGAACGTTTTCTGTTAAGTGCTACAAGCAGCAGTTTAACTGCCAATGACTTCCAAACCAACATCAAATTCCTTCTACCCTTTCTGGAAAACAGTCTCAGCTCAGAACAGGATGATCAGGAGGGCTGGAACCACATTCTTCAAAGTAAAATAAAGAGGTTTGGAGTGGTTTGTGTGATTTAGCTTTGAAATCAATTTTAATGAAACCAGGACAACTTGAAGAGAAAACATTTGTCTGGAACTGGTGATGGAAGACCATCCCTGGAAGTGTTCAAGGTTCAGGCTGAATGGAGCTCTGAGCAACCTGGTCTAGTGACCTGTGTCCCTGCCCATGGCAGGGGGTTGGAACTGGGTGATTTTTAAGGTCCCTACCAACACAAACCATTCCATGATTCTGTGATTCTGTAGACTGAGTGGACCAGAAAACACAAGATTTCACAGGTTAAGTAAGAGGCAAATGGCACATCCATCCACAAAAAAAACCCAGCAGCCTCTGACTACCATTTCAAAACATCCTAGACCAGCTAAGGAAAACAAAATGATCCCTCACCTTCTCCACAGCTTGATGTGGTCCTGGTCAGTGTAGGCTTTAAGGCACTCAGAGATGCGATCACCGATTTTCAGGAGGCAGTTGCGTGTGTGCTCCAGCTGTTCTTGGACTGTCAGTCCCTTATCAGGCTTATCAAGTTGCTTCAGTGCTTTTTTGACTGGTCTCATCCTTTCCTTGCACTTGAAAGAACAACAGAGAGGAGAATGTGATTAATTTGGCGGAGGGCTCTACATCATTGCCCCGTTAATCGAAAAGAAGCTCGTTTAGCTTTGTCTGGCCATTAGGCAAGGAGAAATCAGCTATAAAATAGCAAATTGTTAGACAAGCTGCAGACAATCATCAGTAAAAGACAAGATTTTCCCCACCTCCACTGCCCCTGCCTTTTAGGAGGGAACAATTTGCTTTGCAAGCAGTAACCACACATGGTCTGCACCTGCACAGATCCCGTGGCAGGCAGGGAAGTGAATCCAAGCCTCCACACACTGAACCAACCACTCCAGCTGAAAGACTGCTGAATTCAATCCTGTCCAATCCCATCTTTGGTCACTTTAATGCTTGCTTTTACCAAAACTAGCAGACATGAAATGAAAGCACTGTGTTTTTCAGCACATCAACACCACGCACAGATAAGGAATCAGACAGGGTTTTTGACTGCTTGCCTGGATCTTTTGTGCATCACAGAAGCAAAGTTAAAGAAAAAGACAAAAAACCCCACAGGACCTCCAGCAAATACAGAATTCTCTCAAATTGCATTGAGAGAACTTTTCGGCCAAGGAGAATCTGCCATGACAACTTTGACTAAAAGGCAATTTTTACAATGAGCCTTGTGGGCATGTTTGCTGAGAGAGCATTTACACAGCTCTGCACCTCCAACAAGGTCACCCTCAAAACTCCCCTGCATTTCCTTGCCTGAAAGAGCTTCAGTAGCTCCTTGGCTTCTACAAGAGAGGGAATGTAAGGCTACAGGGTGTTCTGTAACTTCGGTGGGCTCTCAGCACTGCCCTCCCATTTCCCAAGGAAAATACTCACTATGCTGAATGTTTCTTGGTCCAGATCATCATCCTCATCTTCTCCAATGGGGATTGGCTCACTCCCTGCAGTGATGTGGACAGGACCCTGTGATCTCTTCCCTTTACTTCCGGATTTGGCCTCGCCACCTTTAGGCTTTACAAGGACAAATTACACACATCACGCGATGAGCCAGGATGGAGGATCCCCAGTGACCCAGCTAACAACCTCCACACTGTTGTTACTGGCACTTGCTAAACCTGGGCACTGTTCCTACAACTTTCCTCCCAAAATCTCCAACTGTTGAGCTGCAATGGCTCTGTTTAGCTTTATGTCATCCATGAGGGAGCAGGGAGAAGTCAGAGCCAAGAGTTTGGACATGAATACGATATTCACGCTCATGGGGAGAAACCAATGTTGAAGACTTGGAAGAGAGGTTAAAATAAAGAGTATCTCTCCCCTGCAAAGGACAGAGCTCAGGGTAGTCTCCTATCTACAAGCATCTGCAATTTTATGTCATATCACTAGTTCTCAAATCATGGCCCGATCATGTACATTTTTAACTATATTACTTACTTGCAGTCAAAGCCACACCAAAAATCTCTGGAAAGCAAACTTTCCCCTACATAGGCAACAAAACTTCTTAGTTTGCACTTATGACCTCAGTGTCAAAACACACTGGGCATGTAGTACATACCTGTTCCTTGGACAGGTACTTCAGGTCATTATTATGGAAGCTTTTACCCCCCTTCCAATTTGCACCCAGCCTCAGGGCAGTTGTACCCAAAATTCAAGAGACATTTGAGTCTCCAGCATACCAGTGATGTTGAAACACTCATTCTGTTGAGTCCTGAACAGTGACAATGACAACTTACAGTCTTGATGGTGTGGACACTTGGGTCATTTGGGTGAGTTTAAATTAAAGGGGAATACAGACAAGGACCTGCCAACCCTGTGATAAATCACAGCTGGACAGAACTTTGATCTGAGTGCTCCAGGCTCTTTCCTTAGCATCAGCTCTGTGGCCATACCCATGTCACAGGGACAGCTGTACTTTAAAGGCAGCCTGACAAAAATCTCTTCCGTTTTGGTCACATTCCATGAAGCTTTAGGACATATTGCCTTTTCTACTTTTTATGGCCATTCAGAAGGGCTGAAAAAGGGATACCCCCTCACCCCACGGTGCTTCACTGATGTCTCTTCACACAGGGCCTTTAATTAATCCAAAGTCTCACAGTTTGTCCTGCTCAGGGTCTTCCCTATCATGCTGCTCCTGTAAGTACCACATACCTTCTCTTTCTTGTCTTTTGTCTTCTTTTTCTCTTTATCGCTTTCCTTTTCTTTCTTAGACGATGTCTGTTTTTCCTTGTTCTCTTTGTTCTCTTTCTTCTTCTGTTTCTTTTTCACTGGGCTCTTGTCCAAGCCATCCTCCTAGAATATCAGTCATAGCACAAAGTTGGAGTCCCTCACCTCATGTACATTTTCTTCCATAAAACATCCTTAAAACACAGGCAACTTCTGAGGTCCATCCAGATTTACCCTCACACCTCTTTAAGCCGACATCGAGCCCTGCTCAAGCAGCTGCCATCCCCCCAAAGGTGACAAAAGGGTATGAAAACCAGAGCAGCCCCACTCTGTGACAAGCTGGCAAGCTGCAGAGCAGCCCTGCTCTCCTGTGCCAGCTGCACTCCAGAACGATCAGCCCCTGAGGTAGATACTGATCAGCACACGAACAAAAAGCCTCAGACTGCAAGCCAAACCACTCAAAGTCTGAACATTTTCTAAGCAACAGCATGACCTTGGTAAACTCCAGCTTCACCACAGGCTGACGTGCCCAAAAGGAGAGGGAAACAATTCTTCTTTCTCTCCTTTATAAGGGCAACAGGCTTTGTCCTGAGACAACCTTTCCCCTGAGTCAATGTGTGGATGTTTGTGGCCATTCTGGGATGCCCCAAATCCCTTAAAGCACTGAGCTAAAAGAATAGGTGGGATAGGTCCTTCTTTCACACCAATAGCTGTATGGGTGGTTTTGTGAGTTTGCCAATCCTGTGGGAACTCAATCTTAGTGCCTCTGACTCTGGGGGCTTTGCTGGGAATATTTCCCAAGGTGAGGTTGGGCAGTAACAGCAGAGCCCAAGGAAAAGCCCCTTCTCACCAAGGCTGACCCACCTTGACTTCACCCTCTTCTGACTGGTTGTCTGAGTGCCGAGGAGAGGAGAGTTCATTCCCATGCTCATCTTTGACTTTGGGAGCCTTGTTCTCTTTCTTCACTCGTGGTTTCCTCTTCTTTAGCTTGCCCTGGTAAAAACAGAACAAGTCAGGGAAAGCAAATAGCTACAGCTACTTCCTGAGGACAATTCCCATCTCCTGAACATTGTGCAAACAGCTGCAGGTCCTGCAGGCTGGCAGGAAGCCTGATGAGCCCAAATCCTTCAGTAAGAGCAGTAATAACCTGCCCCTTATTAATTATCATTTAAATGAGTATTATCACAATGTAATCAGACAATAAGTCCATATTCCTTCATAGAAATGATATCTGCTGACCTGGGAACATAGGGTGTCTCCTGCCATCAGCCAACCACTCCCCCTGAAACCCTCACAATCAAGCAGCCACATCTCACCTCTTCCCCATCTTTCATGTTTTCTTTCTTGTCCAGATCTTTTTTCAGCAGTTTCAGTAGATAATCAACTCGGGTCTGGAGCTGTTTTCCCTGAGGTTTCTTATCTGTCTCAACTGGTAGGATCTTTGATAAAGCAGAAAAAGAAAAAAAAAAAAAAATATATATATACCCGTAGGCACAAAGCTTGACAAAAGATTTACACATTAGCAGCAGCCCTTCCAGGCCCAGCAAAGGGCAGAAGATGCTGCACCTTCTGGGGGAACAAGGAGGCTCAAGCCTTCCTTTCCCCTGTCCCTGTTTGGCCAAAGGCAAAGCTCCTAGCAAGCAAGCATCCCTCCCCTTGGAATCCTGCACGAGTTAAAGGATCCCAAGGCTTGCTCAGCCTTGCAAGCTTGCTGAGTTCTCTTGAAGGAAAAAAACCCTTTACAAGCTATATTTGGGACTTTGAGTTGCAAAACTGAGTCCACTCGCCTTGACACCTCAGATTTGTTTGTGGCAGCTTGGTCACAGCAGCCCAGTCACTCTGGTAACCTGAGACATTGCTACAGCAGGGGCACAGATGCACAATTCTTAGTGGAAAACAAGGCTGAAAGGTGACACTTTGTGGAGGAAATAGCTCAGCTTGCCAGCTAGGTTTGCTTCACACTTCACTGGAAAATGGGTGGCGTGTTTCAGGCAGCTGTTTCCATTGCAAAATGCCTTCCTGAGCTCCACACATGGAGGGCTCTCAGGCAGAGCCTGATCTTTGCTAAAAGCACCAGCAGGGATGTCAGGGGAATGCTGCAGGCTGGCAGCAAAGCTGATGTGGAGACTCCCAGTGCTCCTCAGCCCTGTGCTGCAGTTTCCACACTCTTTCCACCACACTGACACAACGGATGGTGGATTATTTTTAACCCAGATCATTTCAACATGGTGCCTGTAAACTGTTCTTGTGGGGATGACTGAGGAACAGAGGAACTAGATGGAGGCTTTCCAGCTGGCTGTGCTGCCATTCCCAGTCGTGTAACCATACCCTCGAAGCTAACACGGACCAGCCTTCACATAAGCAGTGTCAAATCTGTGAAAAATTATTTCCACTCAGAAATTCACACTCAGCTTCTTGTGAGATGCTCAAGGAAACATCAAGTCACACAGCCTCTTCCACCCTGTGCATGGAACCACACATGTCAGCACTGCCACTTTCTGCCTGCATCAGTTCAGTGTGGTTCACCTGGTACTGCCCACCAAATGATACAACTCTGCTTTCCATCCAGCATGCAACACTCCATGAAGGCCACTGTTCTCCTCATTATCATTGATCATGGTTTTTGGAGTAGTTACAAACACAAACATCTGTTTCTGGAATACACGAGGCGTGTTTGCTATGAGCACTGCAATGGACCCAATGGAAGCAGCAAGCAAAGCCACCTACCTTATCAGACAACTTCAGCTCCGGGTCCGTTTTAATCAGCTCCCAGTTTCCATACCCATGCTCGTAAATTCCCACTAACAAGCGAGAATCCTCCTCCACTCCCCAGTCTACATCAAAATGAGCAGCTTTGACACGGCACGTCAGGCGGTACCTAAAGGCATTTCAAACACGAGCTGCTTTTAATGCTGTGGAGGACAAAGCAAATCCACACATCCAGGCTATGCTCTTCCCACTACAAAATCCAAATTCCCTGAGCCTCTTTCTGCATTGCCTACTTAGCCAAACTCACTTCTTCCTTTCCTCTGGGTCCGAGGGAATGGACTTGTGCAGCATTTCAAACTCCTCTTCGTGCTGGATGATGGATTTCACATTGACTTGGACACCAGAAATCTTGATGGTAGGACCTCGTCTCTTTCCAGGTCCTTTCCCTGCTCAGCAATAAAACACAGCATTAATTAAGGGAACTCTTACAGAAGGAAGTGTCTCTGTAAAATGGCTTCACAGACAGTGATCAAGACCTTGCCTGCAACCTCTTATTTAAATATAAGGCCCAAAATATAAGTTTTCTTCCACTAACTCACTTAGATCTGCAATTTCAACACCTCCCAGTACCATTTTCTTAAAAATACTTCTAAGTACACTGTAGCTGTTGATTCTGCAGTCTTGCTCAGCTGCAACAGGCAGAGACCCAGCAGGAAATCTATCTCTGACTCTGTATGTCCAAACAAACAGCAAAGAGCAGCCAGACAGAGAGTGGGTGATGATTCCAGCTCTGGGAATTGCTGTGGACCCAGCTTTACTGTGGAGTATACAGCACCAGTTTGATTTCCAGTTAAAATAAGATCTGCTTTGCTTTGTGGCCCAGCATTCAATGAACTGGTCACTGCAGCCTCTCCTCACAAAAACTCATGTCCAGCAGAAGCTGACAGACCCACGAGGCACTTCCAGGCTGAACAGAAAGCTCAGGGGCTCCTCTCTGAGGGTGAGAGCTGCCTGGCAGAGATGGGGTGGTTTAGGTGTGCTCTTGTTCATTGCTTCACAATGTGACCTCCCTGTCCAGCACTGGAATGGTTTCCTCACCAGCTCCATGGAACACTCCCAAAACCACCCTAACAACCCCCTTGCCTACCTTCTGCTGGATTTTCCTTCAGCTGCTCCTCATATTCCTGCATTGCTGACACACAGCTGTTGTGGATGAGCTCCCCTAAACGCTTCAGGTCAGCCACAGACTTGTCCACCAGCTCAGCATCCCGGGCAATGCACTCCAGCCTGGGGAACAGGGACAGTTTTGTGTGTGATACAGCAGCTCTTCTCTCAATCACTTCCTACTCCATTGTTTCACAGCTCAGTGCTGTACACATGTGAATGTATAAAACATGCACAAGTTGAGTTCGTGCAGGAAACAACCCAGGTTTTGTCTTTTTTTTTTTTGTCTAACAGCTGCAGTGCAGATGGAGAAAAACTGATCCAATCCTCTGGATTTTTTAGTACCAAAGCAAAGGTGAGAACTGTCTCTCCTGGGGACAACAGGGACCCTCTGTGACTGTCCAGTACTCCCTCAGGCTTTTCCAGTTCCACATTAACTCCATTTGATGGTCCAAAGCTGCCATCTGCTGTCCCTTTTGCCTGCCTGAAGTCAGTAACATCAAGACTCGCATGCAAGCCTTGCGATTCATACCAGGAGAGCAGAACCAGCTAAAAAGGCACTGAAGTTCTCCTATAATACATTCAGGGAACTCTGCCTCAGCCCTGAGACCTTTCCAGAGCCAGGGCCGTGCAGATCCATGTTTAAGGATGATGCCTCTCTTTGTTTCCCTTCAGAAGGGACAGAGCATGGAAAGATGCTCCAAATCCAGTCCTGAGGCTAACGTGCATAGAGAAGCTTGGCAAGTGTTTTGGGTAGCATTTGTTGTTCTGACAGCTGCTCCCTCTCCTCTCTGGGCAGAGTGGGAATGCCCCAAGGGCAGCACTGTGCCAGCAGGACCCTGCTGTGTCACAGCCTGGCACCACCACTGCTCCAGCTGGTTTTCAGCCAGCATTCATCAGTGCCCATCAACAGAGGCACCAGGGAGTGCACAGCAGAGCTTGGGGTCTGTGGCAGGACAGCAAGACTTGTGCTGTCAGTGCAGGTTGTGTCAAACACCCAGAGCAATGTGTGCCTGGAGTGCTCAATGTGCCTCCATGGCTCCCCTCTGGAGCAGGGCCAGGCTGGGACTCACCTTTCAAGAGGCAATCCAAACTTCTTGTAAGCCTTGATAAACCTAAGGAGAAAAAAAAATAAATTAAAAAAACTAAACTAGCTGCCATAAAAAGTAGGTCCAACATCAGAAATATGCTTGAATATATTAATTACAGCCTGTCACATTATCACCCTTGCATTCCCCACTGATCAGCTCAGCATCCCTCAGCACTGGGAAGCCACATCCATTGGCCCCCACAAAGAGTTTTGTGACCTTGGCTGAAGAAGAACACAACATTGTCATGAATGCTGAGTGTTTGACAGATGAGGGGTAAAAAAAAAAAAAGAGAGTGGTTACTGTAGGGCAAAAAACAAAATAGAAGAAAGCATTGGCTCACACCATGTTGGTAATTATTAACTTCATTTTTCCAGGAAGAAAAGAGGCATTAAATCAATGTCATTAGTAATTTTAAAGCTTGGGCTGTAAATGTAGCAACCCATCACAGAAGATCATCACAGAAGAGCCAAATGTGGTTCAATCCATCACAGAGGTTTGCAGATGAGGTTTGCTATTTATTTTCATGTCTTATTTTTATTGTGAAAATCCCTGCTGTGGCTAACACATCTTTAGAGCAAGAGTTGCTGCAATCAAACATTGCCTTGAGCTGGGAGTAGACACAATGGCTACAACTACAGGTTATTTTTAAAATTAATTAATTTTCTGCCTTCTTATTTTCATTTTGTATTCTTTCAGCCCCTTTCTGCTACATCACAATAACCTAAATGGCTGTTATATTGCATATTATAACATGTCCTCCTGCTCCATGGTTTCAAGATGGTTATGGGGCAGCTACCACAGCCCAAAAACTCTGTTATCTCCTGCTTAAAAATACACCAGCTCAGAGATAGAGAGTTAAGGAAAACTCATAACTCCCTCTCTTCCATCTTTGGCTGAACATCTGGGTAGAGCTGTAAGACAAAGATCTCTGGGAAAGACTCAAGAATTAGAAGATAGGAGAAGAAAACAATGCTCTGAAATGCAGTCTCCAGCTGACATCAGAGACTGACACATTCAGATTAACAGGACCATTGCTTCTCATGAGGTCATTTTGCCAGAGCCTGCCTTTCACTGAGAGCTGAAATCAGCAGGATGACTGCCAGAAAAATGTCAGGAAGACCAGAGCCCTTGGCTTCTCCAGCTCTGCAGCTCATGGCACCTAAGACCTCACATGTTATACAGCATTAGCTCCATCCACTTGGCCCACTAAGGGCAGTTACAGCGTGGATTAATTTTAGGAAGGCACCAGCTTCACTGTAGCCTGACTAAAGACAATCCAGTCCATTCTACACTGACCTGAATGTTAAGGTGATCAGCTGGGATCAAGCTGAGCTATATAAAGGTGCAGAAGCTGTGCCAGTGAACCAGCTCTGCCTAACCACTGACGTGCTTACAGGTGAGCACATCTTGGATTAATCTGGGATTTTCCCCACCTGCATGGGATTTCTATATTTGTCTTCTGAACTGTCCCCTGTGCCCAGCACTGACCTCCTGATTTCAGCATCAGTAAATCCTTCCACAGTGTCTTTTCTGACGCTCCGAGGGCGCCCCCGGCGCTTGGGTCTCTTCTCGTCGTCGGTGTCGTCAGTCTCGCTTTCTGACCCAGACGATCTCTGAAGCCTTCTCTTGGTCTCTGCATCAGATTCACTGTCATTTGTCTGAGCCTGCAGGTACCAGAGAAACAGCAGGACATTTTTAACAACTGCTCATCTAATGAGCTGACAACCTTTTCTGTCCCCAGTGCACTGGCACTATTTAATGGGCTGTAAACCACCTGAGCATCCGTTCCTGAAGATGCAGGAGCCCATGTGGCCAGTCCAGAGAGGCTGCACACCTTTGCAGTTCCCAGCTGGCTCAGGCTGTGGTGGTCATCCTCCTTTTACAGCCACCAGTTTCACAATTTGATCTATTTTTTTTTTTCATTTTGATCTACTAAGAGATGTGAAAATATTGATTTCCATGGGTTTGTGCCACAGTCCCTCAGACTATTTTGAAAACCAGGACACCTCAGAAATTAATCTGGATTCATCCAACGTGAATTATCCTTCTCTGTGTTTTTAAAATTAATGTTTTTCCCCAGCTCACCCCATAGAACAGTTCTAACCCCTTAAAGTCCCATGTCCCAGCAGAGCATCCTTGCACAGTCAGCTTTTTTTTGGACTGGGGTAGATCCCATTACATAAAGAAGAACTTGGGAAGATACCATCTCTTTTGGTCCTCAGGATCCAGACATAGGCAAGAGCCACTCAGGAAGCTAGAGAGCCCAAGGAAAAGAGCCAGAAAATGGCAAAATCTGCAGCAAAATCCAATACAATTGGGTACTTTGCTTTGTGGTCACTACAGATTCTTTTGATTTTGTCTGCTAAGGTGAGATAAGTTACACCAAGTCCAGTCTGGGCCCTCAGGCTGCATCCCAAACCATTGGTGCAATGCACAGTGCCAACAAGAGATCACTGTGCTACCTCTGTGCTTTATTCCAACCAACTTTGGAGGAGGGAAAGATGCTCAGATGGCAGGGAGGCTTCCCCTGAGCATTCTCTTTGGCAGCTCTCTCCTCCAGCCTCTCATCCCCTCAAGATGGGCTGTACCTTTTTCGTTGAGCTCCGGATTCGAGGCAGCATGTAGATTTCCTCCAATTCTTTCTGCCTTTCTTCCTCCTCCACCTTTTTCCTCTGCTCTTCTGGAATGATATCATCCCAGTCCTTCTGGGACCGCTCATCCAGCTCTGTCTCTTCCTCCTCCATGGTTGCAAAGTTGGCGACCTTTTACAAGCAAAGGAGAAGTTTTAGCAATTCCCTCTCCTGGCAGGAACACCCCAGAGCTGTCTGCTAAGCCTCAACTCCTTCTCCACAGGAATTCTGCCAACACATCCATAACTACTCCATAATTGATCCCTATGCCACTACATTCCTGGCTCCTTGCCCTTCTTTGGACTAACAGCTTTTGAGGAAGTACGTGCAGTTTAAGGAGTACTGCTGAGTATTTGTAAATTATTGGGTTTGTTTCCAAATTTGGTAAATTCTGCATTTTATTCACAGCCTTCAAAACCACTTTCCTGAAATTAAATTAATACCTACCTCGGGGGGGGTTGGAACTGGATGATCTCTAAGTTCCCTTCCAACCCAAACCATTCTGTGATTCTGAGATCTCTGCGAGGTGCTCCTGCCTGTTCCTGACCTCAGGGTGTGGGGAGCCACATTCCCACATCCCAGCACAGAGCCTGGGGGTGTCCATACCTTGAACTGTGAGAGCAGCTCGTCGGTGGCACTGGTGGACACCTCATTCTCCCGCGTTTCAGCCAGACGCAGAATCTCGTCAATGTCCATCTCCTGCCAGTCAGGGAGAAGGAGGGATAAAGCAGAGGGTGCCAGGCACAGCAGGATGTAAGAGGCTTTGAGAACAGGCTGGTGTGCTGATATGAGCTAAATAAAGTGCAAATATCTGCAGGGTGTCATCCCAGAGGGCAGGGATGAACTGTCTCAAGTGGGACAATGAAGTACAAATAAAGTGACAACAGAAGGAAAGGACCATCAAGGCTGGAAAATTTGTGGGGAACATTTCCAGGCAGTGAGATGTATGAACTGTAGACTGTCTCCCTGGGGAGAAGCTCTGCTGCTTGGGCCATTTAGAGAACTGGTCAAAACACTCCATGCTAAACTGTCAAGCAATGTTGCACTCAGGCAGGAGAGAGCGACCTGTTCACTGCACTGTGCTGACTCCTGCCTCGCTCAGAACCACCAAAAAAGGTGCTGAGCAAGTGCTCAGAAGAGGCAGGGAGAGGAGCCTTCAGCAGGCTGTGCTGTCACTAGCTAATAATCCCCAGAAGGCAAGGGACTCCCTGGGTGACCATTACCATTTAATCCCCAACACAAGGCTCTCCTCATCCCTGATCCCACATCCCAGACTCTGCTTCCAGCTTCTCCAGACTCCCACATGTCCTATTCACCAACTTGCTCTCATGCACAAGTCAAGAACAAAGCAGGAGCAACCACACACAGTCCTTCTTGCAGACCTGGAGAGCACTACAAGCTGCTATGTGATTTCAATTTCAAACTACCTGAGGCTCTGACTCTTCCCCTTCCAGTTCCTTGAAAAGATCTTCAGCTCCAAACTTCAAAATAGCTGTCAGCTCCTCTTTGTTGAAAGGATTTGAGCTGCAAGAGGAGAAGAAGGAAAAGATGTTTTGAGCTGTTCAGTCAGAACTGCTACAGCACAAAACCATACCAAAGTTTTTCCCAATTGAAGCAAGGAGTAAGTTTTCTACCCAGCACCATAAAAAGCTTTGTTATTATTCTCTTTCCTGCTCCAGCACAAAGACTGCAATGGGAACCACCTCCATCTACTGGGGGAAATGAAGAGAATCTGAGGTCACTGCCAAAATGCAGCTGCTCCACAGCCAGGTTCCCTCAAACCAGGATGATCTCTGGGTGAGAGAAAGAAGCAAAAACAAGTAGTGCCCTAAAACTAATTTTAAATTTCTGTTCATCTTTATCCTATGTATCCAAATAAATGGCTGCAGAAGCCAAATCAGTGGAAGCTGCCATGATTCATTAGCCTTCTGCCCTGTACCCTATCAAATAAATACTGGGAAATGTCAGCAGGGGAGGCTGGTTATGCCACGTGTTCCAGACATTTCTGCCTCCTGACACAGCCACATACTTGGATCTCCCAGAGTTGTTGTCCAGAACAGTCCTGCCAGTGGTGTCCATACGCTGGATAACCAAATGATCCAGCACCATTTTCTTCTTGGCTCTCTCAATGATCTCCTCCTCCACCGTCCCCTTGGTGACCAGGCGGTAAATGTTCACCTGAGAGGCAAAAAGAGACCACAGCTATTTCCTGCACAGGCTCTGCTGATACAGCAATGCCTCCCTCAGCTGTTTTCACTGGGCTGCTGACATTGTCTCTTCATGTGCAGATGTGCTTTTTCAGAAGAAAAACAAACACATTCTCTCTGTATCCAGTTAAAATAAGGATAATTAACACAGATCCTGTGGTGTGCCTAAGCACAGAGCAAAAATCTTCTGAAACAATCGCTCTAAATTCAAACTAGCACCAAACTAGCTTTTCACATATCTAATAACCCCTGGAAAAGGTGGATGTTCTACTTTTTAAGTTTTTCAGGGCAAGAAAGAACAGAGTCCACTAGGACTAGGCTGAGAAGTGCAATGCCATGGGCTGGGTTCTGGGTATGCCCAAAACCAAGAGAAAGACTTGGCACCTGGCAAATCTGGGCTGCTTTTTGTCTCCTACTTTTTAAATGAGATTCCCTTGGGCAGCACTCTCTGGAGCAAGGACTGGGACTAAAAGCCCATGTTTTCAGAAGCTTTGGTGAGGTGAGAGGATGTTTAGGTGCACACACTGAGGCCACAGTGAAATAACCCAGGCAGCTCTCCTGACCTGCTTCTTTTGTCCAATCCGATGGGCTCGGGCCTGAGCCTGAAGATCATTTTGGGGGTTCCAGTCCGAGTCAAAGATAACAACAGTATCAGCAGAGGCCAAATTAATTCCCAACCCTCCAGCTCTTGTTGACAACAAGAAACAGAAGTCCTGGGAAGGAAAAAATAAAAAACATCCATGAGTTAACCAGCTTGTAACTGTGGGCATAAAACAGCAGTGGTGACTCAAAAGCTGTAAAAGGGAAGGCTCTGTTGCACTCATGCTTCTTAAAGCAGAAAAAGGATTTCCTTCCCATATTTCCTTCCCTTTCCTGTTCATGCAGGCTGAGCAGCACCAGTCTCTAAGCCCAGACCCAGGGTGAGGCAGTGCTGGCCCAGTTGAAGGGATGAATCAATATGGGAGAGCAACACAAGCAGCTCAAGGCAGGGGTGCCTTGTTGTCACTTCTGAAGGTCAGACCCCATTGCTCACCAGGCTCCTACAAAGGCAGCAGGCAAACTTGATTTTTGCTGCCTGAATCCTGTTAGGAGTGAGATCAGCAATGAACAGACTGTGCCATCTTAGAGCCAAGATGCCTGAGCCCCCATAGATGTCCTCAAGACAGGGAAAAGGGCAGGTTCTATGGGCTTTCTTTCTCTTTCCCCCTCCCACTTCCTTTTGTTAACTTTCCCACAACCATGATCTCTCACAATCCCTGTGTGAGCCAAGAATTCTGCTCCAGCCCAGGCTCCTGGAGTGAGGAAAGGTATTTCTCACAGCTGGGCTGACTGACACAAGTGTCTTGCACCAGTCACTGTGAGTCAGCAAGCCCAGATGAGAGGTTTCAGATGCCCTCTCCTATTACACTGGAGACTTTCACCTCCAGCACCGGACTCCAGTGCCTGCCAACACCTAAAATCCTTCTTTTGCCTCTGTCATTTCATATTCAAAACCAGCTTCAGACTGGAATCACTCAGCAACCATCTCATTCTCCAGACCAACAGGGAGAGAATTACTAAATTTTGGCTCTTCCCAGCCTCTTCAGAACTTTCTGGAAACGTGACTTGCTGCCCTTCTTCTTGGATCTGAGAGATTTCAAGCAATATGGCTGGCTGCAAAACCTGCCATATCCATGTCTTTAAAGATACCTGGGCTCCTGTGAACAGAACTGTTCTGAACTAACCCCCTGGTGTCAGTGACAAGCTGTGGCTCAGCCACAAACCCTCTGCCCAGCCTGTGGTACCTCGGAGCCGTCGGCGTTGAAGTGATCCAGCGCCTGCTTTCGGATCTCCCCCTTGATCGAGCCGTCCAAGCGCTGCAAAAATCAACAAAAGTGATCAAAGAGAGAAGGTAAAGGAGCCCTGAGGCACTGCTGCACCCGAGTGCTGCCAGCCCTGCAGCCCCCTGTGCTGCCTGCAGTGTTTAATTGTTAAAAATAGCCACCAATTAAAAATAACTGTGCTGTGTCACAAGGGCTGGGGGATGCTCGGGGAGCAGGCACAGGGCGGGTGACACCGCGGCTCCCGTTACAGGCTGCCAGCCAGGCTCTCTGTGCTCACTGTCCTCGGGGTTTATCACATGACACAGCCAAAACAGGGCCTGTCAGAGGAGTTTTGCAGAGATGGGGCCACACTGAAAGGAAGGGACATCCCAGTTCCTTCCAGTAAGTGCCACCTGTAATCCCAGCCACCAGCCTCTGGGGAACTCAGTGACTCCCACTGCTCAAGCTCTCTCCACTTTTGCCCACACTTTCAAGGGGATCCCACTGTTTTCCATGCTGATATTTCTCACCTGAAAAGGGTAGTGTTTGATAGTCAGGTACTCTGCCAAGATGTCCAGCATCCTCACCATCTGGGAGAAGATCAGCACTCTGTTGCCTCTCTCCCGCAGCCTGGTCAGCAGCTTGTCCAAGAGAATCAGCTTTCCACTGCTCCTGATCAAAGACTGAAGAAATAACCATCATTTCCAATCTTACTCTTATGTACATCACACAGAGACCTGCACAGACCTGCTCCTTTTGGGGTCATTCATCTCTTGTACATCTCTAATCTAATCATCTGGATTTACACAGCAGAGTCCACACTCACAATGAATCACACAAGACAGATCCTACACTGCCCATAGCTCCTGCTCTAGAAGGCCATAAAATGTTGCCTACAGTAGAAGTGGAGGGCTGGGGGTTCAAATGGCTTAGCTGTGAGAACTATTTTTGAAGAAGTTACAGAAGATGAAGCTGCACCAGGTATTATTTTGTTGGGAGGACAAAAGAATGAAATTTAAGGAGAAAAGGTGGTGACCAAGGACACCACTCACCTGCAGGGTCTCAAGGCCATTCTCTCTCTCATTTTCCTCAGGAGGCTTGATAAGGTAGCAATGGTTACAGCACTTTTTCAATTCCATCACAATATTCAGGAAACCAGATGTGCTTCCCCTTGTTCCCTTTGAAAGAGCTTTGTAGTTTCTTGTCAAAATCCACCTGCAGGCAGGAAAATGAATGTCAGGATCATTACTCAGTGCAGAGCAGAGCCTTGGAGGAACAAAACCTTCAGGAACAGCTCATTCAGGCATCAGTCTACTTCCCTGCCTCACTTCTCCTACAGGATGCTCTTTCCTCTCTAAAAACCCTGACCTGACCTTCCTATTGATATTATCACTGTTTAATACTGAACAGCATCCCAACTTTGTGCATATTGTCACTCCCCCAGCAAAGACATAACCTCTGGCTTGCAAAACTGGCCAGTTGAACTGTATCACTCTACACAAACATCTTCCAGAAGGAAAGATATCAACTACCTCATATTCCTGCTGGGAAGCTCCCAGTACTACAGGGGATGGTGTCTCACTGCACTCTGAAGGCCACAGTATGCACAGAATACTGGAACACCTTGCCAAGGCCTACAGAGAGTTGTGCCCATTTCCACTGGCACTGCCAGCAGCTCATGCAGTGACTCACTTGTAGTACTGCTTCTGCAGAGCAGACATTTCCACCCGGAGGATCTGCTCCACTTTGGCTGGCAGAGATTTCTCCACATCCTTCTTCACTCTGCGCAGCAGAAACGGCTCCAGCACTTTGTGAAGGCTCTGGTAGCCATTCTCTCTTCCTTTCCCGTGATCCTCCTCAAAATCCTCCCAGAACTCAAACCTGGCAACAGAAAGGAGGAGGAGGGAGGTGTCAGAATAGCTCTTGTCTTATGGCACCAAACAGCAGCTGTTGGATACACCCCTGCTGCACCACAAGACAGGAGAGCAGCGGTTTAATGGAAACACAGTGGAAGATAACAGATTCACTCTGCTCTGGTTAACTGAACAGATTGCTGGCAAAGCTAGAAGATCTCTGGGTTTAGACACCTTCCTAACATCTTATATTTGAGCTCCACACTGACTCCCAGGACCCAAAATCCCAAGTTTCCCACTATTTTACTCTGCTGGCATTTACCTGGCAGCAGTTTCTGAACTTTCCACGGTGCCTCCCCCAGGCACAGCTTTGACAACTGGACTGATTTACCCTGCTCTGAAGGCTCTTTTGGGATTGTTGCTTCCTCTGACAGCTCCTTTGAAATGTGGGGATCTGCTCTCCTCCACCTGGGAGACCTCAAGCCTCTCCTTCGCTCTTTCTGTGATCCAACAAAAAGAATTTGGGGGACAGCTCTTCTTGCAGTCAAACGTATTTTCAGTGAGCTTTGGGGCATGCCTGCCTTAGCCTTAGAGATGTCCACAGCTCATTTTATTTTAAAGGAAACAAAACATTTGTTACACTGTGAAACACAATCAGCCAGACAGCACCCCCAGAGCTGCCATGAAATGGTTGGCAGAGGGGCCTGAACCACAGCGTACTGGAAACCTCAGAAATGGCTGAAATGATTGCTTCAAACAAGTTTAGCTTTTTAGAGATGCCTGGAAGACAGCAGACAGATTTGAAAGGCATGTATCAGGTTTCCCCATTCAGTTTGCTGCCAGAAATGCTCCTCATGTTAGTTATTTAACCTTTGATTTCCCCACTAATGTCTGTTCTCCTATCATTGCTGTCACACCACTGAGTTTAATTCAGGGATTTCTGCCATTCTGCACTCCCTTGAGCCTACTTAACAGACAAGAATGGAACAGAGACATTTCTTGGAAGGCCTGAAAGGAGACTCACTTCTCTGGCATGATGAAGTGCAGCAGGGACCAGAGCTCCTTGAGTGAGTTCTGAAGTGGGGTGCCAGTGATCAGCAGCCTGTGGTTGGACTTGAAATCAATCAAGGTTTTGTACAGCAAGGAGTCGTCGTTTTTCAACCGATGGGCTTCGTCCACGCCCAGAAAGGCCCAGTTAATGCTTCCCAAAACAGTCTGGAGGGAGAGAAGGAAAAAACACAGGAGATGCTGGGTCAGACAGGCCCCAACACCTTGCACATGTGTCTCTCTCCAAGCACTGCAGTGTGGGCTGCCCAAGGTGCCCCTGCGGCTGCACCCTCACAGGATTTTCTTGCTAATTTGGGGACCAGGGTGCCTTCCCAGAAAGGAAAAGGTGAAAATCAGCCATGCTGTACAACACTCTGCTGTATCTCAATAGTGCTGCAGCAGGCACACCTATCCTAATCCTCCTCTGCTTTACCCAGAAAGCACAGTCCTTCCTCAGCTCTTTATTCTCCCCTTTCTCCATGCCCTTGGGGCCCTGGGTAGCACTGGTCCCACTGGAGCAAGAACAGGAGAGCAGATGAACAGGCCTAAAAAGTTCAGGTAATCCAAGAGTTTTGATTTAAATTATTTTTCTTTCTTTTTTTTTTTAAGCTTTTAGTTTTTTGTAGGACTCAGTGATACACTGACAGGGCTGATGAATATTTCCTGAGCAGATTTCTTGTAGATGTAAAAATGTACATACTGTTAACACTGTGGCCAGTGGTTCAGTCTAATGTTTTGTCCTCTTAACAAGCCTAAATTAAACCAGGTAAAAATTCAGGTACTGCTGGGTCCTGCCAGATGTCTTACATGTAAAAAAAATAGCACAACTGTGCAGTACAAGAGTGAAGACACTGTAAAATGTGTCCTACATTCCCACATTTGCTTGCATTACTGGGAAGGAAAAGCAAATAGTGGCTGTAGTTGTCCATCACCACATAGGGAAGAGGTGAAACCCACTAGCTGAGAACTGGCTTTCTCCTTTGGAAATGACAGAAAGTCTAAATAAAAGCATTCTTGGAGTAATGATTCACCTTATCCTTCAGGAGGATCTCATATGTTGTGATAAGTGCATTGAATTTCAATCTTTTAGACTGAGAATGGATCCACTCATATTCACGTATCTGTGAGGGGAGACAAAAGTTAACTTGAACACATGTTATCAAAAGGAAAGAGTTAACAGTTGTTATTTTAGTGTAGCTGTAAGCCAGAGACTACAACCAAGTCCAAACCCTTGCTGTTCTAAGGGTGCCATTTGATGAGCTCAAGGTGCCCAAGGAATAATTTGTTTTAGTGCACACATGGTTCAACTTGCACAGGTAACAAAATAAGGTTAACTTGCTGTTGTGACATTAATGAACACATCACCTCACTGCAGACACCACTGGAGTCCCCACACTTGTGTGTTCCATTGTCTGAATAATCCCAAATACTAAAGACAAGCATTTTACACTGCTGGACTTCTCACTGCATATTTCACTCCAGATCAGCTCTGAGAGAAGCCAGTGCTCCTGCACTCACTCCAAGAGGCAAAATAAAGCAGAAAATTCCCTGTAGGAGGGAGTTACACCCAGACACTCAGCCACACCAGCTCCAGCTGCCTGCAGTGCTGCCAGCACTATGCACCAGCCTCTCCAGCTGACTGTGTGTCACACACATCACACACGAGCTGCTGCTGTGCACCCAGAGCTTCTCCCTGAGCCCTCACCCTTTGCTCTCTGATTACACACCATGTTCCTGCTCATGAGGTCTCCAATGTAAACCACCACGTTTATCTCAGGTGCCCACACTTCAAACTCCCTCTGCCAGGAGGTGAGGGTGGACAGGGGCACGACCACCAGGAAAGGGCCATACAGCTGGTGCTGATGGAACAGGTATGACAGGAATGATATTGTCTGAATGGTCTTGCCCAGTCCCATTTCATCAGCCAGGATCACGCTGTTGTTCCTGAGAAAAGAGGAGAACAAACAAAAATGCTGAGTGCATGTTTCTGCCACTACTTGTAGCCCCACATTTTTCTTCACAGAGAAAAGCAAGGCACGATTCTATATTTCTGGGATTCATGCTCTCTGAACCTCAGAGAAAGAAAACACAATTCTTATCACTTGCTGTGCCTGTGTTTGTGCAAAAGTAGAATGCAACATGGAGATTGTTTGCCCAAAGTGATGGTGTTTTGTTTCCTTGGCCTATCAGGGCCTAGTGTGTGTGTATGTGGGGACTATGGGCTGAGAGTCATGACATTCAGAGCAGTGTGTGCAGAGTTGAGTTTGGCAGATTCAGTTTAGATGTAATGTTATATGGTATAGAATAATATAGTATAATAAAGTAATTAATTAGCCTTCTGATAAGGTGGAGTCAGATGCAATCATTTCTCTCTCCCCTAGTCGGGTCTCAAAGCATGAACAGCAATCCACGACAAGGACAGAGAGGGGCAGTGCAAAAAGAGCTATTTGAACACTTCTAAGTGGATCCCAGGGATAGCCAGACTGAACATGGCACAATAACGTGCAAAAATGAACTATGATGACTCCAAACTGGAGGAAAACAGGTAGAGGGGAATCAGTGGCCTAATTTTAAAAGGACATCTCTCAAAGACTTCAATTAACATGTAAGCACACTGAGCCAGAAACCATTTTTTCCCATTAAGTCAATGGAAATCTAGGGCTTATATGTACCAGGCTCAGCCAAATCCATCATGTGAACAGGCCCAGACAGGGAAAATGCTTTTTGTTTTCACACAAGGTTTCTTAAGTTCATGCTTTAGGTAGCTCCTGCTTGCAGCGTCTGCAATGCAGCTGGGCATGATAACATTTGAAATCCTCCAAGCTGCAGAAGGAGGGCTGGTAAAGACCTCACTTGAAAGGGAGGTGTGCCAGGTCCTTCAGGGACAAAAAAGGCACAGAATGAACATGCCAGGCTGTGTACATACTTGCACCAGGAGTGAGCCAGCCAGTTGAGGCCCTCCAGCTGGTAATCGCGCAGCTCCAGGTTCTCCCCGCCGATGTACGAGGGCTGCTTCTTCAAGGCAACAAACCTCGGCCTCTGCTTCAGCACCTGAAATAAAAACTGCCTTAAGGCCACTGAAGAGAAAGACAGAACTCTCAGTGGCTGAAAGGCTGAGAATTCAGCAATGATATTGATGAATTCAGCAAAGAGTGTGTATCTATTCACTGGTTTGAGTGAAGAGAAATTCTCCTCCATCCACATTTTCCTAGCCAGTGCTTGTGTCTGCATTTCTTGTGATTTGCCTGCTGCCCTCTGCTTTATGATCAGGGCTCTGAGTCCCCCAGGAGTGTAGTAAGCTGCACAAAATACACAGGAGTCGGAACAAGCTCCACTTCCTTCTTTGTCCTCTTTTGGTTTTTCTCCCATTATTTCTGTCCCTCTCCTTCCCTGTATCAGCATCTTGCAGGCTTCCTCTTTTCCCAGGTGTGCTGTTTTTTCATCCAAGTGATATTAAAACTGCTGCAGCTCCTTCTGAGGAGGAAGCACTTTTCAAGGATTAATTAAGCCTCCCACTCCCCAGGGGGACATAACATTCTCACTGTGCACAGAGTAAATGAAACTCAAAGGGCTTCACATCTCGGCTTGAAGTGCGATACAAGAACAGCAAACAACCCTTCAAATGCAGGTGGGAGGATGGGAAAAATGTTCCCTGACATTTATTCTGACAAAACTTCATGTTCCCACTGCTTGCATCTTCCCCCAGCCTGGAGGAACCCAGCAAAGGAGGGAAAGCCAGCAAACCTTGCAGTCACGGGTGGGAATGGTCTTGGAGTTGTTCCTGCTGTTGAAGCTGTCGATGCAGTGCTGGAATTTCTTGCTGATCAGAGCCTCATCTTCCCAGCTGCACTCAGCATAGGGCAGCCCCATCCACTTGCACAGGTATTCGGGGTCATTCGAGGATGTTTTGCGACTGCTTGCTGTAAAATATGCAAAAAAGCCCAAACCTCAGCACCTGTAGCTGAGCAGCTGAACCACAAGCATGGCTCACAGGCTGAACTGCCCAGGCAGACACAAAACAGGTCTTGGCTCATAGCAAAAGTGTAGAGAGACCAAAAAAAAAAAATGTGCCTTTACCTGGGAAATCTGAATGTCCCGTGGCAGACTTGCTGGTCTTCACAGCTGTGTTTGGAGAGAGAAGGGAAGGGAGGGTTGGAATGCTGGCAGCCAGCAGAGGGAGCAGGGCAGGCCACCACTGCCTCACACCCACGTTTTTACAGGAATTGTATTGGAAATAGCTTACACAGCTCTCCATGCCAATTCCCAAAGCAACTGGGCGTTGGCACCTCTGACTGACATGACTGTGATATTACCAAAGTGCAAAGTCAGTTCTGGTTTTATTTTTATCAATTAATCATGAAAATCTCACCCCTGAGCTGCCTTGCAGCCTAACCACATCCTCAACCACACCACAGAAAGGGGACCTCACAAAAGCCAGGCCCATGCTGCTGCTTTGGAAACAAACATCTTGCATCCAAAGGGCTGAAGACAAAGAAATTCAGCAGCAACAATTTCAGCAACCTGCTGGAAACTAGTGTGTCATGCCATACTCCAGACAAGGAAAGTCCCTGATTTTTATTGTTTGTTTACAAGCACAAATACAAATCTGTAAACCTGGATTTCTACTGTCCAAATTCCTAAATTTCACACAATGAAATACAGTAAACACCATGGGGTTTTCTTCAGGGATACTGGAGGACAGGGAAGAAGAGAGAGCTGCACACTCATTCTGCTGTCACATGGAATAAAGTTCCCATTCCTACTTCACCCCTTTACCAAAGTCTTGGCTCCACTTACCTATTACCCTCTCCACTATTTGATATTGTTTGTTTAGCTCTGAAGCCAGCTCTTGTTGGCAGTTGAAATATTCTACGTCTTCAGGTGATACCTTGCCCAGCCTAGATGCAAAATAATTCAAAACAAAACAAAAAAAAAACCACTATAATGCTTCTGTCACAGTGCTCATGGATGTTGCATATAGAATATCTACTTTCCTATATGGTTCTGTCATTCAGACAAGTCACAGGGGCAAATTACTGTTATATGACATGTTTCTTAAATTTCCTAAAATTGTAAATTATTGCTGAGAAGCAAATGTCATAGATGTTCAGATTGTCTCCCTGTTAAATGCTGCCTTATTCTGATGCAAGAAATCAATCTCAACACAGGAATCAAATAGAGATGGAAGCTGCTACTCCAGCTTTAGCACTTTGGAAAGACACTGTAGCTCCCCTCACAGTTCCTGGGGAAGCTGGATATAAACTGATGCAAAAACGTGCACACAGAGAAACCCATAATTAACAAGGGTTAATAAGGCTGCAAGCCCTCACAGCACCTCCTGGGCCGGGTAAGTCTGTGCACCCTTCATTGGTTGTCAGCCTTCCAAATTCTTAAGGCTAGGAAGTGGCAATAGTGTGGATTTCACGCCTTGTCCTCTCCATTTTCCAGCCTCCACACCACAAATATCATTTCTGTGGGGGGGATGTTCCTCAGCAGGCAAAGAGAGACCAGAGTGCACATGAAACAAGCTTTGTAAGAAGAAATCAAACATTTTCAGTCATGACTCCTCAAACCTCAGGCTAAACACAAAGTGCCCAAGGCCAAATCACCGCTTGAAGTGAAGCCTACCATTGCTTGATCTCCTCCTCTTTTTTCTTGAAGTTCTCCAGCTTTTTCAGGCCCTTCACTTTCTGCTGCTGCAAGGACTCCTCGCTCTCCCACGTGCTGTGGATGTATGACCAGCCCTTCCATTTGATCAGGTACTGAACCTCCCCCTCATCCTTCTCGGGGTCGAAGTCGGCGCTGGGGTTGCCGTTGGCCTCGGTCACGTACACGGTGGTGGAAGCTCCAATGGCTGCAAGAGACACCAGCCTGCATTTGGAACCCTCCTGAGCCACCCCTCGGCATCAGCTGCAGCACAGAAAGTTACTCTTCTAATACACCTTTTGTGGGAGCACAAAGAACACCCAAAAGGTTCTGCAAGCCGGTAAGGCAGGCACACAGTTCTCCGTGCAACAGAATCTTTTTAAATCTGTCATAAGTAGCTTTTCTTTAAGTATAATTCAAAGGCCTCTTGAAAGTGTTCACAACCATTCAGTTTTACAAAAAGCATTTTTGTAAGGCTTTGAGAAGAAAACATTGGATTTATTTTCATTATGGCTTTGTCAATGGGGCTATGAAAACTGACTCTCCTAGATCTGTTTTATATTTCAAAGCAGAGAAAAGCAGGAATTGCAGAACAATGGTTGCATCTTTAAAATGTGTGCAGGCTAAATGAAAGCTGCTGAGCACATAAACTATAGAGATTTTAGGATTTTAAATATTACAAAAGCTATTACATATTACAAGATGCAACTAAGAGGCATAGACGAAAAGAGGAAAAGCACTGAAACAACCCTTGGCCCCACTTTCAAGTTGCAAAAGCATTGCACCAGTTCAAGAGAAATAAAGGCTTCTTCCAGAGCCACTCACCTCCCTTTTTTCCAAGCCTGATGTCCAAGACTTTCTCAATAGTTTCACTGTTGTCTTGTTGTTCATCAGCTCCTTCCCCAGTCATCTCTATCAGGTCATCAGAATCCGTCTCAAAATCATCATCCTCTTTGTAGCTGAGTAAGATCAAAACCAAACTGATATAAAACCCTTGACTCTTCCCAGCCCACCAACACAGAGAATGGCTCAGACTGGAGCAGCTTCTCCAGCATTTATGCTGTGGTTCAGTGCACGTTCAGCACACATGTTTTAAATATTCAGTATTTTTACCCAAGATGCTCAGATAGCTACACTTTACCAGACTAGTCCTCTATCTTGCCCACATAGTTTTTCTGACCATGGCCAACATCAAGTGATTCATAAAGTGGAACAATCCCTGCAGCAGGAGCAAGGCCATAACAGAGAAGGTCTCCACTACTGAGGGAAAGATTATTCTGTGGAGGTTGCAGAGCATTGAAAGGCTGCATGGGTGCCTACCCTAGGAACTGCACTTCTCATCTTTGGTGCATATTTAACCACCACAAAATATAACTCGGATGGCTCTTTGCAAGTCCCTTATTGGGACTGCCTGAAAGGTGAGAAGGTACACAGGGGAATGGATAAAGCTTTACTCCACCCTGGCTCAACACACTGTCCCCAGTCACCCTCAGACAATTGGTCCAGTCCAGCACAGCTGCTCCCTTTTGCTCATTTTCATCTAGTATTTGCAATTATCAATCTCATCTGAGAGTCCTTTAGAAATATTATGCAAACCTCCTCATGTTTCTCTTAGGAGGGACTGGTAAACATTCCCTCCTTCACAGACGGCAAAGTGAGACAAACCCTGGATGTGCCCAGCAGGAACCTGCCAAAAGAGCCACACCTCAGCCACAGGTCCCTGCAGGACCACACAGGAGTCAGGGCCCCCTTCCCCAGCCAGCTCTCACCCCAAACCAACCCCACACTTCTCCACACCTGACATTTTTGGCTGCTCTTCGCCGAGTTTGTCTCTTGGGGGTCTCATCATCTTCGTCATCATCATCATCTTCAGATGAGTCTGGTTTCTTCCTCTTCCCACGCTGGATTTTGTGGGGCTTTTTAACACCAGTTTTGGCCACTGTTCTAAAATAAGAGTTAATAAAGCCATAATGCAGCATGGTTTATGTAAATATCCACTTTATTAAGTCTTTAAGGAAGCACAGATCTCAAATATTAGACTCCTAAGGGATTTAATCTGCTCTAACTATCATGGAAACCACTCTAGTGCTCACTGGAGCATGAGGTGGGGAGATGAGAGAATAACTAAGCCCTAGGTTTACTAAGTCACAAACAAAGGTAATAACACTACATGAAAAATTCATTAGTGACAAATAGGGATTTCCTCTCCACACAGCACAGGCAGAAAAAGAGAATGAACCAACCATTCCTTACCTCCTCTGGACAGGTCTTCTTGCTTTAATTTTCTTCGGTTCAGGCTCACTCTCTCCACTGGTGCCTTGCTCCCCTCCATCTTCATCCTCTTCTCCAGCAGACACCTCTCTTTTCCATTTAATTCTGTGGTCAGAAATGTAGGTCATGAAGGGCAACAATATTTCTGCACAAACACTTGGCTGAACAAACCATCAGGTCCATAATTGCAGGAAAAAAGTTCAACATTCTATCCTTGGCTGTTCAGTGCAATGCAGGGGGGATGTTGTGCTGTGATTCTCTGCTTTTAGGAGGGGGATCTCAGTCACCTGGGGCTTTGCTCACACAGTGGCAGGATTGCCTTGAGTGAGAGCAGCTCTTACCACGTGTGCTGGTGGCAGAGCTGTACTGCTCAAACCTGGGTGGGCAAGGGCTTTGACTGATGATTTTTTTTTCCTCTACTTCTGCATTTTGGAAATGGGCTGGAAGGATCTGAAGAAATGTGCAGAGTTACAAGAGCTCCTTGGAGCCCAGAAAATGGAACAAGACTCCTGCCATGGAAATTCTCCTGCCAATTCAAGTTTCCAAGTGTGAAGCCAAGTCACATTGTACATGAGTGGAAGGAAGCACATTCTCTGGGGACAACTAGGAACAAAGCTGCAGCCCCAAAATGCCTTTTGGAGGAGCCTCTCCTCTCTCCAAGAGGACATGGAGGGCCCACAAGGATGGAGCACTACCCTTGTCCAGGAGAGGTCCATACTACCACAGGCCTCCCTGTGCTTTATCACCTTCCCTCCTGCACTGATGGGAACAACCAAACGAAGAGTTAAAAGACAAGATGCAGGAGAAAGCAAGCAGGATGATGTGGCTCTGTTCAGATTTTCTCCATCAGGCAGCTCATAGCTACCTACCCCACTTTAGCATATGGAAAAACCAGGAGGTACTTATTAGATGGGAAAAGGTAATAGAATATGACTGTAAGTGAACTCAAGTTATGGTGCTTAGACATCCAAAGCATTCTTTATGGAAGTTCTTTTGTTTTAACAGGGGGTTATAAAAGATAAAAGAAGATAATAATTTGGTATTTTATTCTCAGATAATCAAAAAGGTGGGAGGAGAAGGGATTAAACTGTTTTAAGTGTCTCTGAAGGAGAAGCAGTAATCTGATGGAAAAGTGAAAGACTGACAACAGAAAGTGAACCTGACTCATTCAGATTCCACCACAGGCACAGAAGGAACGTACAAAAACAAGGGTTGGAAAATTGCATCCATCTATAGATTATTTTCACACTTCAATTTTAGTAATCCAAAGTATTATTAAAATATTTATTTTACAATATCACCATGTTGACAACTCCCATCAAACAATCCAATGCACTACTGTTCTGAGAAATAAACCAAAGCATCACCACTCAAAACCCTTTCCTTAGAAACTTACTTTCTTTTCAACTGCTTCTGGCGTCTTCTTTTTGGGCTCTCATTTTCAGACTCGCTACTTGCCTTTAATTGAAAAGAAAGAAAATCAAGTTGTAGGCTTCACTGTGGACTGGCTCCTCAAGGATGCAAGTGAAACACGTGCTGGTGGGTCCTTTCCCTGCAGCCTGGAGGACACTGGTGCAGAGCAGCTGCCTCCCAGCACAGCCACCTCAGCTGCTCAGTCCCGCTGCTCTGCTCTCAGTGTGAAGAAGGAAACCCTGCAGGAAGTCTGGAGAGCTCTACAACATCACCTATCTTGAAGTGCCTGAGCTCAGGAGCCATCCAGCCCTCAGTACCAGCCCTAGTGCCCAGCATCCACCATGGCAGCAGCAGCCAGGCAGACCTGCAGTGTGTGCAACACCCCAGGGATTGCAAACCCACAGGTGAATTTATCCCAACAATTGCACTGTGACCTCTGCCTTCATTGCACAAACTTCCTATAAGGAATGAAATAAAAATGTTGTTGTAAAAAGGCAATAATCTCATCAAAAGTATCCTTGTCTTACTGTTGGGTTTTTTCTCCCACAGCAAGTCACCAAGGACCTTACTGGGTCAGAGCTGTGTCCTGCTGCTTTCCTTCCTCCCAGTTCTACAGTCTTCACCAGTGAAGTCTCTTTGGCTAAATATATCTAGAGCTATTCTAACTGCTTGCTGTTCTAGTCTAAAAGTGGGTGTCACGAATTCCCACAGACCAAGATAGCTAAAATAATCTCTTTATGCTGGTTGCACACAGCCCCATTTTCATAAAAACTAGTCAACCATGAAAACAGATCACCACACAGATAACGTGACTTCTCCTTAGCCTCCCCCAGAAAACACAAATAGGCAGGGACAAAACTGAAGAAACCAATGTGAGATTTCTAAAGAAGTATCAAAATGACAGAAGTAGCCTCCAAGATTGCTTGCTGCACACACTTACTGGAAATCTTCCACTTCTAACTGCTTTTTGCCACAGTATTCAGCTTTGGCTCCAGGCACTGTCTGTCCATCACTATGGGTAGCAGAGTTTGCATGCCCTGACACCCCCACTGCCCTCCTGGACAGAGCTCACACAGCTGTGCACACAAGGACCTTGTGGAATGGTGTGAGCTGTAACATGCATCCTTCATTCCCATTCTCCAGCTTTCCTTCCACCCACAGAAATTTCTGCCTCATTTGCATCAGTGTATTCACTAAAATACTGGATGCCATCCATGTCTGACCATGAGCTTTCCTGGATGTGGTGTCAGAGTTGCATGTGGCACAATAACAGCTTTTGCACCATATCTTACTACAAACACGTGTTCATCCACCTGTTTCAGGGCCCTGCATGAAATCCCTGTCTTATTTACCAACCATGAAGCAAGTGCCTGGCAAACACCATGGAGAGCCCTACCTACCCTTGCAACACAAGCCAAGCACTCCACAGGTTTCAGTTTTGACACACAAAATTTAGAAGTCCTCAGTTTTCCTTTTTTAATCTCTTATCCACTTTCTGAAGCTTTTCTACTCCAATCATTGGGCATGATTTTAACAGCTGCCCCTCAGTGCTCGTTTACTTTTGCTGTCTTTTGGCAAGCCACAGGTAAAGAGAGGTGGATTTCTCTTCTGCTCTGCGTCAGAGATCACATTGGGAGAAAACCAAATACAACCTTTAGCTCTTTGAAATTAACTCCACTTCTGTGCCAAAATCCCATTTTCCAAGTTTCTAGTGTCCATTTTCCCCATGCCTGTACTCTCCCCCTGCTCTGTCACTTGTCTCCACAAAGCTGATGATTATCTCTAAATGACTTGACTTTTCCTCCCCTCTTCCACCTTGAAAAACATAACTTGTGACTGCAGCTCAGCCACCTTCTCTTACATATTTCAAAGGCAGCATTGTCTGTTTTGGATGTGTGTCAAGCCCAGCCCTATCTCCTCTGACACAGCCAGTCCCCAGCTTGAGTCATCTGCCTGCCTTGTGCTCCCACATCCTCCCCATCCCAGAATGGAGTGCTGGGAAGTGCCCTGCTGCAGCTCCTCAGCCTCTCCTCATGTCTCCTGGTGGTAAATTCCTTGTTTAAGGAAGCACAGAGGACAGTCAGAGAGCCATGCTATGCCAGGTGCAGAGCGTGCACCTGAGGCCCTGTCTGCCCACCACCACCACCACCACCAGAACACACTGGTTGGGAAATCACATGCAACTTGCATTTTTGTAATGCCACCTCCCCGAATGACACAAGCTAGACTGGCAAAGTCCATCCCCAGTCCCAGTGGGGTTTTTGTCAGCCCAGCACGAGATGCTGGGGTCACACTGCTCACACCAGAGCCCAAGTGCCAGTGCTGCCCTGCTGGGTGCTGCCGCTGTGGCCATGGGGAAAGACAAAGCTGCTCTCCCTTATCAAAATGTGCCCAACTTATTCCTGCACCACTGCTTCCAGCTGGACTAGGATCTGGCCTCTTACAATTTCCTCATCTCCAGCTGAAGGGATCAGCCTTCCCTCTCCATGTCTCACTGACTCCTCCCATCAATTCCTTCTCTCTCCCAGCACATAAAGTGCACACACTTTTACCAGATTAATTGCACTGTCTTTTGCTGTGGAGCAACACTGAACAAACATAATGATGTTTGCATGTAGCACCAAGCAGAGCAACACAGCAATTCAAAGTTCTGCTCCTATAGATTATACAGGAGTGTCTTTGCCACTAGCCCAGGCTGGGAGAAATGGAGATTCCAGGCCAGTGGAGAGGAGGTCCAGGTGAGCCTCTGGAGCTCACACTAGGGAAGATAATGACTTGCTTAAACAGAGCCAAAAGTATTTCAGACTAAAGTCAAAGTGAGGATTTGCTCATTTCAGGCTTAACAGAGGCCAAACTCCAGTGCTCCAGAAAAGCTGGAGAATCTCAGCTAACCAGGTTAGTTTTATGTCTGCTGAGTTTCTCTTTCCCAGTGAGACCAGTAGTGTTTAAATTTTTAGCAAATACATGAGGCAAAGCATTGACCAAAATGCAAATGAGCACTTTTTTTTTTCCAATAAGAAAACCAGCTGTATTTTTAGGACACACTGGTGCGTGACTTCTGGCCTCTCTCTGACAGAAAAAAATATGCTGACATTTGTCACCAATTTCAATCTGAAACTATTCTTTTAATAGTAAAAAGATTGTGTCTGGTTGGGCACATTGATTTCTCAACTACCCCATAATCACAGAACCAGGGAATGATAAAAAGGTTTGAGTTGGAAGGGACCTTAAAGGTCATTCAGTTCCAACCCCCCACCATGGGCAGGGACACTTTCCACTAGACCAGGTTGCTCAGTGCCCCATCTCAACCTGGCCTTGGACACTTCCAGGGATGGGACAGCCACCACAGCTTCTCTGGGCACCTTGTGCCAGGGTCTCACCACCCTCACAGGGCAGAATTTCCTTTATATATCTAACCTAAATCTCCCCCATTTCAATTTAAATACTGTGAAAGGCACCTGGTTCTGCACACCTCACATCCCCTGGCTGCAACCTGAAGCTGATTTATGAACTGCAAAGAAAATGCCTGGGGAAGTAGTGTTTTTACTAAGAAACTCACACCTTCTCTTGTTCCTGGAGACAGCTCTGGGCCTCTGAGCAGATCTGTGCTCCTATGCAAAGCTGCACTTTCGCTTCCCCAATGGCTCAGCCCATGCCTGGATATTGATCGTGAGTTATCCTGATCACACCTCAGACACCTACACAATGAACCCAGAAATCCTCAGAAGGTAGCCATGTCTAACACACAAATAACCCTACCCAGAGTGCTGCTCTCAGAGGACACAGTGATTGAGCAGGGTCCCAAAACCTGAATCACCTCCACCTCTGTGCAGGTGAGTCACGGGGCAGCGCAGGGAGATGGGATGGTTCATCCACCCTTGCTCTGGTCTCTGAGCCTGCCACACTGCCTGCATGATGCTCTTTGCTAATCTGCAGAGAAGCATTAGGGAAGAAGGCAATTACAAGCCCCCAGACACTGTGCTGGAAGTCCCAAGCAGCAAGCAAGAGGTGCAGGTCATTGGAGACAGGATTAACCCTGTGAAGGCAAAATGCATCTTCAGATGTGCCTCGGGGTTCTGCCTCCTCCAGCAGCAGCAAGGAGTGCTCAGCACCACACAGGCTTGAGCTATGCTATCTCCTCTTTCTTGGTGGCTTCCAAAAGCAAGACTTTCCATCTCCTCCTGCTCTCTGCGAGGCCCCAGCACTGTGCTCCTGACAGGTCACACCCTCCAAGAGACTGCTGCAGATGGGAACTGCCCTCTGGGGACACTGCAGTCAGTGCTGCTTTGGGGAGAGAGGGGTGAGGGCATGCTCCAGTTTTTTAAATTTCAGCTGTTTCACAGAAGTTGCAGTGATGAGGGTCATTTGAAGGACCTTTGGGGTGGTTTTGTTTTTTTGTTTTTTACAATATTTTGTGGTATAGCAAAGTTTTTGCATCTCAGATTTTTGATTTTTTTTTTTAATTTTTACCTTAAGTAGTAGGAAATAAATATATTGAAAAAGAAAACAACATTTGCAAAACCACATAATATTGTAAAACAAAAAAAGAAGGGACTTACCTGTGCCCCTAAGAGGGGGTGAGTGGAGCTCTGGGGTGGGTGTGAGGTTGCTGGCACAGTGCATGCCAGGGCATCGCACAGAGGGGCCCAGCCTCTGCCAACTTGAAAAGGAAAACAAAAGCTACGTCAGTGGTGCACCCCGAGCCCCTTCCTGAGCTCTGCTCTGTGGGACAGCCAGCACAGGAGTCTGGGGGACAGCTGGTGGCACTGGGGTGCCACCAAGGCTCAGCAATAACGCACCAGAGCAAGGAGCTGGAGACCTGTGTGTCACCCCTAGAGCATCCGAGCACACATCTTGGCGGCGAAGCACAAACAGCCTGAGTCAGACAGCACCGCTGGGCCCCTGCTCTGCTCAAAATCTGCTGCTTATCTTCAGATTTCCAGCCCCAAGCTCTCCACAGATGCCTCTCTCTGGTTCTCCTTCCCCTACGCTATAGCTACTCGACCTTCCTGAGGACCTGCAGATGAAATGCTCCATGCAGAAAACCTGTCAGACGCAAATGAAGGCAGAACCTGATTTCTACATCTTCAGGAAAAAACCCAACAGTGTTCTGAAACAGGAACAATTAGAAGGTTTGGTTGCCAGGCTCTGACCACTGTCACCTTCAACTGAAGCACAAAAGACTCCCCAATGTTCAACCAAAGAAAAGTGATGGGTCATAAAGCTGCACACACACAAATGCATTTATTAGTGGGATCCATTCCAGGATGGGCAATACTGACTGTTTTGTTGCTATGAGGTGTTTCTGGGAACTTTCCTTTATTCCTGGTTGGATTTGTGTTGCATTTTGGTCTTGTTCTGTTTTTTTAGTTACACAGACTCCTCTCCAGATGTTCCTACATCAGAGCAGGACTTGCATTATGCCCCATTGCAGCAATCAGATCAGTGCATGCAGATCTCAGCCCAGGCAGTGTCCGGCTCACTCCAGAGGTCTCAGGCCAAGGATCCAGCTGCAGGACTGGGACCTCAACTGTGAGATCCAACATCCATGCACCAAACTGGGACTCAGTGTTTACAAGGCAATGCAGTTCAGACCTCCCTTTCCTCTTTGGGTTTGGTTGGTTTTTTATGTTCAGTAATCCCTCATCCTTTTTTTTTTCCTTACCTCATCTTTTATATTAAATCGTGACGGTTCTTGTCTGCTTCGGTTTGACCTCCTAACCCCATAAACATCAGGATATTCTTCCCACATCTGCAAAATAAACAGACCATCAGAAGGCCTGCTTCACCCCAATTATTTTTGACATTTTAGAGAAATTTGATGGTGGCTTAAAAAAAAATCAACCAAAAACCATTAGGGAATTAGCAACCAGCAGATGGACAGTTTAAAAAACTGGCTGGAAAGATTATTATTATTATTATTACTATTATTATTATTATTATTATTATTATTATTATTATTATTATTTTGGGATATTTGACACCTTTCTAAAGCAGCATGTGTTTATCTCAGTGTTATCTTTACAGTGGTCCATCTTTCCACTGAGGCACAAATCATTCTCCAGCTTGCTCAAGCTGAAGGACAGAGTGTTGAGGTAACCAGCCCTCTGCAGCACTGGTGCCAAAGGAATGCAGGCAACACCTTGGACGTGGAATGAACAGACCTACCAACTCAACAGGGCAATTCTCTGTCACTAACAGCTTCCAGCACAATTCCTTTCCTGGTGGAAAGCCCCACCAGCTGCCTGGAGACATGGCCAGCTGCAGCTTCAAAGGTGAATTCTGTGGCCCAGTCTGGATGGCAAATAGAGCAAGATACCCTGTCATTTGGCAAGGCAAGGCAGTGGCCACTGGATCCTCTCCTGAATGCACTGATGGGAATGTGATTTGGCAGTGCAGGACACATGGAAGTGCAGAGGTGACTGCTGGCAATGGTTGTGCTCTTTGCTGTAAAATGAGGCCCTCACCAGTTCAATACACTGTGTATAAGAGCATGCAATTGTTCTTGTGGATGGGCAGGAGAAGGGGACACAAAAATGGATGCCCTGAGGGGGATGAATGCAGAGCTGTGTTGGTGACACAGGACACAAAGGGTTACAGGGCAGACACAAACCACCACCATGGTTTGGTGGTCAAATGGTCAAATTCCTACACCAGCAATTCCTCTCTACCTCAGCAGAGCTCTTAGTTTTCTACATTGATTCATTTCCTTCTGATTCTCTCTCTCTCCAATCCTCAAATACCTCTGCAAGCCACTGGCAGGAAAAGGAAATCAAACTACGCTGCCAGGTGCAGCAGTGATGGGATTGAGAGCGTGATGGATACAAGGCTGCAGCCCAGCAATTTTTGTGCCTCTGTTAAAGGAGTAATGGGATAAGGGACAGACTGTGACAGTGTGTATCTGTTGGGCATGCAAGTACTGAGGTACATTCTCAAGAAAGAATAAACCCTCAAATTTAATGCTCCTTCCCCAAACCGTTTGAAGAACTTGTCTTTTATCTATTAAATGGCATGGGTTTTCAATGTGGGAGCAACTTCCATGACAAATCTTAATAACACCTAACACAGATTAACCTCGCCTTCATGGGTGTATCTAGACAAATACCAAATAAACAATAATATAATAATTAATTGCATTGGTTATTCAAGGGGAAGTTGTATCAACATGCCTAGGTTAGACCTAGCTAAGGAAGACACCCATTAACAGAGAAATTAAGGAAGGGAGAGGCTTTCTTATTAAAGGGTGTCCCGACCTTTTCATGTTTCACCCGTGCTAATTATCACCCTGGGTATGGATGCACTTCCTCACAGGATAATGTTAAAATTTATTGTTGGGGACATGCTCTTAGAATCCTTCAGAGGGAGAGAAGAGTTCCTTTGGTGCCCACTTATCAACAATAAACCACAGATTTTAATATGGTGTTACCACAACTGTCTTATAAACTCATCCTCCCTTGCCAGTCCGAACACTGGAGGATTTAACCACTACCTAAGCCAGCAGCCTGGAGCTTTGTGGAGGGAGAAGGTGGTAACAAAATCCTTCACTTCTTCCTGGCAGGTCCGTGGGGAGCAGAGGCTGGAAGCACTGTCCTTCCTCCTTATCCTTTACACTCCCAGCACCTTTCTCCATAAAACTCACTCTCAGGAGCAAGCTGTGCCCAGTGCAACCCACGGCTAAGAACAACAGGATGGGTACACACCACAAACAAACAAACAAAGCTGACCTAACCAGAATTTTCTCCTTCCAAGCGAACTCAGTTCACTGAGTTCCTGTCTCCAAATGGTATTTGGGCTCCTCTTTCTCACCACACACTGCCCTGTTTTAGTCAGGTGCCTCCATCCCTCAGGTAAAGCAGGTACCTGAGGTGCAGCTTCTGCCCTGGGGTGCAGAGGGATACCATGAGCAGTAACATCTACAATCCCTTTTCCTGCTGGACAGCAAGTGGAGGGAAAACTTGACTATCTGAGGAATATTGCTAGGGAGGAGCTGGGAAGGTACAGGGGGAAAAAACCCACAACAAAGAAGCACTGTTCTGTTCTGGACTTAATAAATAATGGAAGTTCGTTTTTGTTTGTTTTTCCTATGCTTTTTTGAGAGGAAGAGTGATGTAAAAAAAAAACAAAGTGGTTCAAACTTTAAACCCTAGACAAACTTCAAACCTTCTTCCTGAGTACTTATCCCATGGAGAGGCTTTACTGCTTCTGAGGAGAGACAGGATAGAGTGGAAAGACAGAGGGAGAGGATGAAATGACAGGATCATGTACTGATGACAGGCACCTGCCTCTCATTCACACCAGTCAGCCCTGCCACCATCTACTAGGTGACCCAGGGGTTGTTCCACAAACACAGCAGCTCCTGCTCTCAAGGGTGACAGCAGCAGGGCTCCAGCACACAGCCCAAACAGCCCCTGGGGACACTGGAGGTCAGAGGCTGTTTGGTCCATGTGCAAAGTGGCCAGGATGTTGGGCACAGCTTCACTGAGGTCCTGCTGCCTGACCTTCCGTGGTGGGGACAGGAGTAACGTGTCCGTGCAGAGCAGCAGGGGTAATACCTTTTTAACATCTGCTATCCTTTCCTTCTTAGAGGCTGGTTTTTCTTTGGTTTCAGGAGGGGTCTGCTGGGATTTGGAACCCGTTGATTCACTTTCAGATTCAGACTGACTCTCAGAGGACTCCGAGCTGCTGTTTGACTCGCTGCCCTGCTCACTTTCAGACTGGCTTGCAGAGTCAGAGCCAGAGGCTTCTTCGGATGCCGAGTGACTAATGGTAGAGAAAGAAGAGGTTACATTTTAACTGCACTGACACAGCTGTGAAATACGAAGGGAGCAAACCTGAGACACATCCTGAGCCACAACAACAGGTTTGGAAAAGCCTGAATGCAAGTGTGGACCCTGTGTGTACACCCCACACCGGCATTCTGCAGCAGAGGCAATTCCTTCCCAGGACTGGCAGTGAACACGAGTGAGAGTGCAGCCCCAAAAATCCCTGTCCAGGATCTCCTGCTCATCACCAGAACAAAAGCAGTGGTGGTAGGTGAGGAGAAGCATCAGCAGTACCAGCAGCACAGGTTCTCCTGATAGATCTGGGTGTCTTGGAGTGAGGCAGAGAAAGCACAGTGGGGGCTGCAGCATCCACAGACCATCCTCCAATATTAACGATGAGCAGTTGCTTCAGCACGGCTCTCCACTGCATCCTAGTGAGGCTAGTGGTTCCAAATAAACCAGATATTCGCTTTCTGGAAGAGACCAGTATCAAAAACACTATGCCCATAACACCATGAAGGATGCTAAATATAATGCTTTTTGCAAAAATAATTAATTCAGCAACAGGGGAGAAGAAAGAAGCTTATATGGGCTTGTGGTTGGGGCAGCTCCTCTTTAAAGGATTACACCAGTGCTGTGCAGACTGCATTTCTCAAGCCAATAATGGGAGAGCAGAATATTAAGTAGGTGTAGTTCCCCCATCTTTTGTTTTTTTAAAATATCTTCATATAAAAATGGGTTAACACCCAGTGTATCCCCTTAAATGAAAGCTCCTCAACAAAACAATGAGAGGCCAAACTATTTTAGCTGGCCAAAATATTCAAATACCTTTTCCCAATCATTCCCAACATATATATTTTTTATTTTAAGAGCCAAAAAACCAAACTGAAATCTCGGGACACTTTACCATAGGTGTGCTGCAAGGCAGCATTAAAACCCTACTGCCACAAACAAAAACACAATGATGATGCCACAAACTTTTGGAATAAAGAGCACCCCTTTCCCAGTCAGCTTTCCACTTGGCAGCCAGATGTGTTTGTGATATTTAAAGATTTGCTTAGGTACAACACTAATGAAAGAAGAGTCAGGAAAACTTTGCAGAGGGATTAAACAGGTTTTTTATTTTTTTTTCTACTTTTGTACAAAAGTAACAAAGCACATGAAAGGCTTTGCTCAGATTTCATGATTCAAGGGAGAAACAATACAAAGAAAAATTTAAAAAAAAAAATAAAACGAAACCAAAAAACAACCCAAAGAAAGCATGTGCACGTGTACATTTCCATCCGACTCCGCAGGGGTCGTTGCCGTGTGGGGATGCCCGGAGGCAGCCGCGGCCCGCCCCGCTCCCGGCCGGACAAACCCCGGGCTCCGCGGCTGTGGGCCGCGAGGCGGGCAGGGGGCAGCACCCGCGCGCCCTCAGGCGCCGCCGCCGCCATTTCGTGATCGCCCCTCCGCCGCCATCTTGCGACCGCGGGGCTGAGCCCGATCCCTGGGATGGGTCCCTGGAATGGAACCCTGGGATGGGTCCCTGGCACTGCCCCGGGGAAAGGGAACCGTGGGGAGCGCGGCCCTCCGAGCCTGAGGGGGCACAAAAGGAGCCCCTTCCGCAAACAGCAAGGGCAGCCATCACCCGTGGCTGCTGTTTCACTGTCCCAGCCTGGGTTTGAGGGAACAGGGTTATCACATTGCATCCCACACGCAGGCTGGAAATTCAGGTTGAACCACGGCCATCCCAGGCTGCCCAGGCCCTGTCCATGGATGGAGGTTATCCATGAGAACCAAAAGCACAGTGTCCCAGTACACCCCTTGTTGTGTGGGCTTTACAACAGTCCCCCTCTTTGTCCACCACAGCTCTCCATTGCCACAGCCATGACCTGTGGTGGTGCCACACACATAACCCATGGTGGTGCCACACACATGATCCATGGTGGTGCCACACTGCTCCTGGCAATGGCACTCCAGCAGCTCTGGGGACAGATGGTGTCCATGGGCAGGCCTCAGCAGACACCATCCCACCGGGCCTCCACAAAGGAAGGGGATCTGGAGGCATCCAAACCTCTGCTGTCACAATGTAAGTGGCAACATCAGGCTCTGCTTGAGGCATGTTGGTGTCCCGTGTCCCACAGGGACACATGGAAGATGAAGACAGTTTTTCCTTCAGTCAGATTTGTGAGCAATAGCTGGAATAGGAATTTTAACAGCCCAGGCAAGACTGAGGCCAGACAGCTCTGACAGTATTTGTTTAGAGGCAGAACAGTAATTACTGTCCTCCTCCCGCTCTGGAGCTCTTTGTTCCTCAAAGCCTTAAGCTTTATTTCAAGGACACAGGGACACAGGCTCTCTGCACATTAAGAGCCATAATTCATGTGCTTTATCCACAACATTGTCTGAACACTAATTCTTTTTTTCAGGCTGTGAACTGTGTCATCTGAAAAGAGGGAGACTTCTCTGGTGGCATACGCATCTATATGTGCAGATATTTGCCTGCACACCTGCTTCCCCTACTAAGGAAAGAAATACAGATGAGAAGTGATTATGTCCTTTTGAAGGCTGTAGCTTTTTTTTTTTTTTTTAATTAAGGAACAACCTGTTATTGAGGCAAAATATGTGTTTATCTTCTTTTGTATGTTGATCAGATAAAAAAAAAATAACTGAAAGGCCTGTTTTCATAAAAGAATCCTTTCTAACTGTCACTGGTACAATCAGGAAGCATTTCTACCTGTCAACAGAATATAATGTATTAGCAACATTAGATGTCAAATCAGGCCTAACACTGTATATACCTAGAGACCTAAGTCCTCTTTTCAGAAGTTATTTCTGGAATTTGTCCTGGTTTAATACCCCTGAGTTAGCATCCAAACAAGACCTACTTCCAATTAAACTAAAAGTAAGAAATAAGCGATAATTATTTATCACAAAAATCACAATTCAGCCAGACCACCCTCCTCCAAAAACACCCATGAACATGAAAAGAAAGCAACAGATGGACCATTGGCAATTTCTTTGAAGAAACTCCTAAAAAAAAGTTGCGATCTGCAAAGACTCAGCCAAATACATTCCTCTGGTTTCTAAGAAATACTTTAGGCTTTAAGTCTGGTTTAATTAAGAGCCTGCTCCCGACTTGAAGGGGAGCAAAACTAAATCATTCCTTACCAAGAAGAACATGATCCTTCTAAGAAATAAGTAGCTGAAAGGCAGCGATAAGACCCTTTACAGTGAGGCATCTGAGTTTAAAAGGCAATTACCACATGCCTGAAGCCTCCAGACTTTGCATTTAATATTTCACATATGACTTCCTTTTATAGGGGATCATCTTTGCAAGCAGCAAATCATTTTATAAGTTCTCAGTAAGAACTAACAGTAGATCTGCCTCCAGAAGGTGTGAGACAGCTGAAAAAATGACCCCAATATGCATTTGTGAAACCAAGAACTGACTGGGGAATGGCTCTAACTGGGACCATTCTGCCCCAGCATTTAAAATGTGGCTTTTGAGGGACAGAACTTGAATTCAGACAGGGGAATAAAGGAGGATTAATAACCCAACACCCTCCCACAAGCAAAGCTCCTCCCAGCTTTAAGAACTGTTGTGAATGTTTTGAATCTAAACAAGTTTGAATCCCAACAGCAACATTCCACTGGGCTTCGCAATCTCTGCAGGGATTCGGCACCAGCAAACCACCCTGTGAAGGCTGGAGAAGGACCTTGGCAGATTATCCCATGGCTGGATAACATCAGGAGCTGGATGACAGCAGGAACTGTTCTATTGAACTCCTGTGCATTGCTGGCCACAGCGTCACCAGTGCTGTGAGTAAGTGACACCCAGGTGCACAGCAGCAGCTCACTGGCACCAGAATGCCCCGCACAGGTGGCTGGGACACAGCCCCTCCCTGCTCCCATCCCTGCTCACCGTGTTCCCAGCACTGGCTGGACCTGCTGGGCTTCCTGATACCACACCTGGGCAGCCCAGAGAAACAGCAGGTCACTGCCAGCTTAAGCCCAGGCAGGACCAAGCCTGAACAGGAACAGTGGAAATAAACTGCACTTGGCAGGGCAGGCGAGTTGCAGAGTGGACAATGCAACAATAGCTTGGACTCAATGATCTCAGGGGTCTTTTCCAATCTCAGTGATCCTGAGAAGGGGGTGAGCAGCCCAGGGCTGGAGGAGCTGCTGGGTCAGCCCGAGGGTGTCTGGCAGAGCCAACTCTACCTGAGAGGGGCTCCTGAGCCTGCACAGCTCTTCAGCTCAGGCTGCCAGCTGCCACTCCTATCCAAAAGCAGAACCAACCTGGGATTTACTCCAAAGCACAGAGCAGCACAGCCTGTGCAGGCCACCAACTTAAAACTATTTAAACAGATCTGTCTTCCTAAAGTGACCTGTACAAACTGTGGGACACACAAGCACTGTGACAAACCACAGAAAGGGCAAACACATCGACTGAGATGAGGACTGGCTGCTGTTAAACATTTCCTTTGAATATCTGATCTATAAATGTGATGTTCTCTATTATGAAGAGAAACTATTTACAAGAACATGTAGTGACAGGACACATGGGAATGGCTTCAAACTGAAAGGAAGTAGATTTAGATTAAATATTAGGAAAAAATTCCTTACTGTGAGCTTGCTCAGGCACTGGAGCAGGGTGCCCAGACAGGTTGTGAATGCCCCATTCCCTGGAAGCATTTGAGGCAGGTTGGATGGGGCTCTGAGCAGCCTGGTCTAGGGGAAGGTGTCACTGCCTATGGCAGGGAGGTTGGAATGAGATGATCTTTGAGGTCCCTTCCAACCCAAACCATTCTCTGTTTCTATATAAACATATATATGAAATGGCTACATATATTGCAAATACAAATAAGCACCATCAATGTTGATATGTGCACTCAAGTCACAGGGTAGCTGTAAAAAGGCACTAAACTAAATTTAACCTTTAGGCTAACAAGCCAGGGAGAAGAACACAAGATGGGTTCTAGTTACAGATCACTAGATAAAGAGAAGATAATA